AAGCCCAAACCAAAAGGTTCTACAATCTACAGTCGCAGATTTTTTATTCGTTACCACGATACAAATGCAATAACTTTCTTTATTATGTAATTCCTGTTAAATGTGTTTAAGTAGATATTTCATTTAACCCTCTTCTTAATAAATGTTTTAACTAAAACATTTGATAAATTTAAACACTTGTAAAACTGATGGTAAAGTCTAATAAAATTTAATCGAAAATACACGAATATACAGTATTGACAATATTCCTTAACCTAAATGCAGCCCTGCGATTCTGTAACTCACTTTTCGAACTCACACAGCGGTTTTCGCATCGGCGGTCGCTCTCAAATCAGTCGTGAAGCAGTCATTTTATGATTTGGCATTCTGAAAAGGTGGGAGCTTGTAGTTTAATGTTTATCAGAATGCCAAATCATAAAATGACTGCTTCACGACTGATTTGAGAGCGACCGCCGATGCGAAAACCGCTGTGTGAGTTCGAAAAGTGAGTAACAGAATCGCAGGGCTGGTATAATAAAGTTTAAAAATTTACAAATAACATTTAAAACAAATTTAAATTATTTAGTCCCTGTGGCAGTGTACCTTTGATGGTGGCATTTCCTTGCTTTATTGCGATATTCACCTTCGAGGGAAGCACCAGCAGCAGAGGCACCAGCTGGGGCCTATACTACTATATGTATTCTTAGTAATCAGAAGCGGTAGATATTAAAAAAAAACAAAGCAAAAAAACTCAAAATATCTTTATTCATGTTGGCAAATTTACATTTACTACCAGTTCGCAAGTCAAGGGCGTAGAGTGGGTAAGAAGAACTGGCAAGAAACTTTCCGCCACTCTTTTTAATCGCCAAGTATTGTCATACAAAGCACTTAACCTAGGAAGTTTTATTCCTACAAAATGACTTTATTTAACTAACTACAACAATAAAATAATAATCTACCAAAAATAATAATTAACACAACTAAAGGCCGAAACTAATACAAAGTATAACCACTTAACACAACCGAAACGTCCGTCAAGTCCGAGAGCCAATCGTATAATACCTCCCAACGGGTGTTCCACTCCTTTTTTATAACCCCTCACTCGGTCCGGCTTGTTGGGTGGGGATTTTTTTTTTTTTTCTAAGAGTATATATATGTATCCAATTTTAATTTACAGTATTGATGCCAAAGCACTTTCCATAGTGGTTGGAGCATTCACACTGCGATCAGGTGGCGACCGTTACACAGTAAAGAAAATTATAAATCACGAGAAATACGTGGAAAGATATTTGAAAAATGACATAGCTCTGATAAAAATCGACGGTCATATCAAAATGAAATGGAACGTTAGGGCAATCAAATTGAGGAAAGAGCCTGTGGTTGCCGGAACAACCTGTGCTTTCACAGGATGGGGGAAAACTGACGTAAGTATTCAGACAATTTAGGTAATTAGAATTGATCTTCCCCTGTCTGGTGAGAGGCGGTACTCGAATTCGTCAAAGGTAGGTTAATTTGTGTGTGCTTTCTTATGTGTAGTAAAGGGAAAAATATTAACTATTTTTGACGTGACTTATAATTCGATGGAGCCGGCTGCATGCACGAAAAAACATGACTCATGCGGCGTTACCTCGCTCTGAGGCGTTCCATTTAAGGCTTGAAGTGCAAGCGAGAGCGCGGAACGAGCGACAAAGAGGCACAATCGGCCTACGCGTTCGGCAGCGTTCGTTCGTTAAAAAATTGACGTAATTGTATTTATGCGTACAAATAAATGTAACTTGATCAATTCAATTGTGATTTCCATTTACCTCCTTCTCTATATGCATACAAAAACATCTATCAAACAAATAAAATTAATTTTTTTTTTTAAAAAATGCAACCATTCCATCAGTATTTTCTTAAGACGTTGTCACATTCAACTATCGTAAGTAAACCGACTTTACAGACAACCGATTTTTAAACAGTCTTTGTGGTAAGAAATGGATCATCCAATATGTCAAATTGAATTGTTTCACAGAATCATGGAACTGTGCCGAACTATCTGCAAGCTATGCTCTTGGAGAGTATTAGCAATAAGGACTGCAAGAAGCAGTTAAGAGGTTCAAACTTTCTTCCTATTGATGACAAACAGCTCTGCATGAGAGCTCCAAGTGAGGAGGGTGCTTGTAGTGTAAGTTTAATTTGGTAACTTCGGATAATTTTTTCATGTTCGTTGCCATGGTTACCATTACACAGAGTTCAAAACCCCGAGATTAACAATTTACTTCGTATATTCAAGCATAACTCTTTTGTCTGTGATCGTATTTGATCTGTCAAATGATTCTAATTTCGAGATTCCCATAGCATTAGTTTTGTGATGGAATAGATAGTTTATAGGAGAGAGATTTGTAATATCTTAAGCTAAATTCTTGATTGCAATTTGGAGTTGCTATATTTTTTTTAAATAACATCGTCGCTATGGCAACAAACATTACATATTTTAATCGTATTATTAATGTGTGAATGCGAGAAGTATTTGAAAATCCCAACATATAACACAAAAATTGAGTTAGAAAATCTAAATAGCGAATATAACGATTTTGTTTTAATAATAATATATTTTGGACGCCACAAGTACTGACGGCAAAACACTTTATACCAGATACACAACGAACACAAAATATTTCTTTTACATTTTATTTTTTGATAGAAAATAATCACAAAACAATATATTTATACGAATAATAACATTTAAAAAATCGGTAATTATACTCTGAGGTCGTAGGTTCGATCCCCGGCTGAGCACCAATGGAGTTTCTTCCTATGTGCGTATTCGCTCGTAAAGATAAAGGAAAACATCGTGAGAAAAACAGCATACCTAAGAACCAAAACTTCGACGACGTGAGGTTCACCTACTCCAATTAGATTGAAAAATGGTCATGAAACGGAAACAGAAATCTGTGACTGTGTTTTAGCCCAGACCAAAAGAGGTTTTAGAGCCACTGATTTATTTATTTTACTTTATTAATGAAGATATTCCTTCCGTAGGGTGATTCGGGAGGTCCTCTGGTCGCTTATAATGGAAAGAAGAAAAGCTTTGTTCAAGTTGGAGTCTTGTCCTTGGAACCGTTTCCGTGCGCTAATAACTATCCACATGTTTTTGCGTCAGTTTCCGGTTATTATGACTGGATTGCGATAAATATGAAGGATTAAATTATGTGTTTCGACAAATCATTGATTGCTAGCCTACATATTAATGTCTAAAATTATATGTAAAGCATTATGCACACTACAATAAATAGCAAGCAATTGGTAAAAAAATAAATTTTTATTTTGAACGACACGATTATCTTTATTAATTGTCTCTTCACTGAGGCATCATTGAACACTACAATCTAGCCTTACTAATAAAACTTAAAATACAGTCTCCATAAAGGCCTGTATTCACTTTGAATAGTCAATGTCAATTACTAATCACTTGCACTCGCACTAATCACTAATCAAAGTGAATACATTCCTATAAAGGAAATTTCCTTTTATGTGTTCTTTTTTCAAATAACACAATGCATGGATGAAACAAGATAAAATGTCGTTTTACATAAGACGGGCGAATGCTGATTCTATCCCCACCATATTAAATTCTTTTAGTGTAAACGAGCGTAGAGCATTCTTTCATTGTTCTTAGTGCGTTCACAAAGATTCTATGGAATATTTTAAGAATGCTCGCTCGCTGGATATAAACGGCGCTAGAACAGTTTCTTGGAGCGGTCCAAGCGTTCTTGTACTGGTACGATTGTACTAGCTCAAGTTCTGTGTTCGTTTGATGTAAGTAAACACATTAACACATTAAATGCTTAAACAATGGATACAAAGTAATAGCCGGAAACCAAACTTTTTATGGCGAATTTTAATTAAGTAAATATGAATGTTTGAAAATATGTAGGTATTATAATTTTTATTAAAAAAAACATTGAATGATGTGTATGGCGGTCATGTTGCAAAAGAAAACACAGTTCGTTTTTGGTTCCAACGTTTTCGTTCTGGAAATTTCGACCTGCAGAACAAGCCCCGTGGACGGCCTGAGACCCAAGTTGATAATGAAGTATTGAAGGCTATTGTGGAAGCGGATCCATCGCAAACCACGTCCGAGTTAGCTGCAGGCTGCGGCGTTAGTGATAAAACTGTTTTAATTCACTTGAAGCAAATTTGGAAGATTAAAAAGCTTGAAAGATGGGTACCGCACGAATTGACTGAAGCAAACCGGCAAACGCGCGTCGACTGCTGCGTTACATTACTGAACCGGCACAATAATGAAAGTATTTTAAACCGAATCATTACCTGTGATGAAAAATTGATTCTTTACGATAATCGAAAGCGCTCAGCGCAATGGTTGGATCCTGGCCAGCCAGCCAAATCCTGCCCCAAGTGAAAATTAACCCCAAAAAAGGTGGACTAGTGCCGGTATTGTTCATTGCAGTTTTCTCAAATCTGGCCAGACTATTACGGCTGATGTCTATTGTCAGCAATTGCAAACCATGATGGAAAAGCTAGCGGCTAAACAACCTAGACTGGTCAATCGCTCCACACCACTGCTACTTCACGACAACGCTAGACCACACACTGCACAACAGACGGCTACCAAATTAGAAGAGCTTCAATTGGAATGTCTAAGACATCCTCCGTACTCCCCGGACCTTGCTCCAACAGATTACCATTTTTTTCCGAAATTTGGACAACTTCTTGCAAGGGAAAAAATTTAACACTGATTTTATTGATTCCCGTCCGACTGGTTTTTTTAGTAAAGGGATCAATGAACTACCTATGAGATGGCAAAAGTGCATAGAAAACAATGGTTCATACTTAGATTAATTAAATATATTATATTTAAAAATATTCGACTTTTTGTTCCTCCCATACAAAACGCCAATTTCATATGTAAGGACCTAATATTAAGATTATACCCTAAGATTATACTATTGTACTTATACTATGTGGCTTACTCACTCTGTTACCTAGCAACCAATATTATTGTTTAATCTATAAAAATGAGTGGCGAAACGATATTCGAAGCACCAAGAAAATATAATGTGTCACAAATCCGAGTGCATGATTATTTATACGGTAAGTTTTTCTACTAAAACGATAAAACTATTTACAATTATTTCAGTATATTATAATGTAATAAAATAACGACAGTTTGTTTTTATAAGTAGCTGTTCTGGGCGGTTCCAACCCCATTAATTCGGTTGTGCCACGATGTTCCATACTCTATTTTCTCGGTTAATAGACTTTTAAATGCGTTACCTTTATTCAATTTATCAAGCCAAATTGAAATATCAAAATGCTGGAATGTATTTTTGTAAGCATTAGAAATAACCTCTCAAACCAAGTGTTTTTAATCGATATAGGAGTATTTCAAGTTAGTCCTAGGGGTAACATCCTGTAGGAGTTGGCATCACTCGAAGGGATTAGGTGATCGCCTCGTTTATATATTATTATATATATGAGCTAAATGTACAGCCTTGACTCGTACCCTGGTACCGTAGAAAGGAAATAGTGAGTGATTCCAATCGCAGTTTAAACCCAAGTTGGAATGCTATTTTCTTCCATCATACATGATTTACAGAATCGCAAGGCTGTAAGTGTCTGTGAGTGATTCCTGATCATTTTCAACATTTATTATTTACGAATTTAGCGCTTTGAGTATCAAGGGGAAAGGGCTGGAAGATTACCTGATGTTAGACCGCCGGATTGCATTGCCGGTTTTAGCAGTTGGAATGGTGATTTCTTAAAGGACCCTAAGACGTATTGGTAAATCAAATCAAATCAAAATCATTTATTCATTTAGGTAACACAATGTACAATTATGAACGTCAATAAAGAAATACATATTAAATGCTTCTAATTTTACATTTACTGCCAGTTCTCAAATCAAGGGCGTAGAACGGAAGAGAAGAACTGGCAATAAACTCTCAGCCACTCTTTTTAATCGCCATTTTTTTTCTTACACAACGTTTGTAAGGAGCTGCACACATTACACCATGTTTCACATGACATCTTGAGTAATTAATTTTAATTTAATTTAATTGTTTAATTCAGAAAACAAGGTTCCATAACAATGTTAGTAAATTACAGCTTAATACCTTAAATCTAAGTGTTAGTATGTTTACATTAATTCATACCGGAATCATTCCGCATGAAATAGAGAAACAGTGATTCAGGTATGGGCAATCGACTCGGTCCGCGATAATGCGGAGGATACCGTTACCGCTAGCTCTCACCCTGCGCACCAAGGATGCACATCTCTTGCGTATGGTGGCGTAAAAACAATCCACCCGCGCCTCAGCAAACATCCCCGATGCGCTGCAGAATCGAGGCAGCCGCAACAGCACCCTGAACGCATTATTATATTGGATTAATAGTTAATTTAAAAAAAATTAAAAACAAAGATTTGTTCTCTATCAGCAGTAGGCATGGTGAAATAGGAGCTCACTAACGTGTCGTGGGAACAACACGCAAATATAAGTTATAGTTCCGTCACCATATGTAAAGGATTTTTATTTACCAACATTTCGACCTTAGACACTGATGCTTTTAGTCCTTCCTTTAGATCTGAGGAAGAGCAGCACCTTCCTTTCTCCACAAATATATTATTTTTTTCTACTCACTTTGGATTGTTGCGCCAGCGGAGTTTTTTTATTGGTGTATTTTTTTCACTACAGATTCGGCGTATATCGTGTCTGGAGCTCGTGATTATGCAAGAACGGCGTTTAAAGCCGCCATGGCGTCAGCGCAAGTGGTAAAATGTCTTATATATATTTTTTTTTATGTAATAGGCAAACGGGCTGGAGGCTCACCTGATGTTAAGTGATACGACCGCCCATGGACACTCACATTGCCAGAAGGCTCGCAAGGGCGTTGCCGGCGTCTTTTCTTGAAGGACCCTAAGTTGAATTGGTTCGGAAATACTTCAGTGGGCAGCTGGTTCCACATAGTGGTAGTGCGCGGCAAAAACTGCCTTAGAAACGCTCAGTTGTGGAACGACGGACGTCGAGGTGATACGGATGGTATTTTGTATTCTGCCTTGACGTCCGGTGATAAAACTCAGCTGCAGGTCCGAACAATTCCTCTGAACACTCCATGGTAAATGCGGTAGGTATATAATTGTCAATAGTGTCTTAATATAGTGTCTGTTAACTTTAGCTTTGCGCTAATTCAAGACAATAGCATAATGTGCACCGCAATGCGCTAACAATATACTTAATATAAAATAAATGAAACACTTTGTTTGAAGCTGTGTGTCAACTGGCTATTATCGTTTAAAACATGAGCTTATAACTAACATAAAATTAGGAGTAGTGGGGGTTGCAAGACTAACAAAAAACTAACTTGACTTATTTAATAATCATAAATCTAAGTGACGATGTTACTTAGGCTTACTTAGGCTTACTATAAAGTCAACGATTACCTAGTTGATAAAAGGGCCTGGGACTAGTGCTAGGTGCAGGCTACCTCTAATTAATTTGCGATATTTGTTTTAAAAAAGGTGTTGTTTGATGATTTGCTATTTTAAAAGAGTACCGAGAGTTTTTTACGCCGGCTTTTTCTCTCGGCCTACACCCTCTGTCTTTGCCGATGAGGGATGCCTACAAATTGAAATTTAATGACGTGGAATAAGTGATACATGTATCTTATGTTCCATAATAAACATATTTTATTTTATTTTTTATTTATTTCTTATAAAGAATATAATTGTAGTCGACAATAGAGGAAACGAGAATGTTAGGTATAATACAATTTATGAGTGTATGAAAATCTAAAAGGCACATTACCAAACTAACATTATTATTGGCTACCTGCACCATGATTTCTATCATTTTGTTTGCGCTTCTAATTATCAATAATATCTTTACTAATTTTTCCATTTTCTTTTTTTGTCAGGTCATCCAGCCAGTTTATAAGACCATGTTCTCCGAGCTACGCAAATTCCCAAGAATGAGAGTTGGTAAGTCATATTAAATATAACATTCAGACCTCGACCATGTCCTTATTTATCTAACTCGAAAAATACCGAAGGGTTGTTTGTACGGTTGTCACTAGTGATGAGAAGAGAAAGGTTTAGATAATTCATTACTGAATTGTTGAAGTGGTCGCAAACCTTGCCAAAATACACGAAATGGACTTAGGAACTTTGAGCAAAAATTACATATTATAAAACTAACTAGAAATAAGAACCCGACAGACGTTGTCCTGCATGATATTTCAAGCGATTAGGATATTAAACAAAGTATGCAAGTACCGCCTGCAGCGCCATCTGTCAGGCTGATTTGTGAATCTAAACCATCCAGTGTTCCACCCAAACGCATACAAAAACAACAATTCAAATCGGTCCAGCCGTTTAAGAGGAGTTCAGTGACATACACACGTACAGTAGAATTTTATATACATGTAAGCTAACCTATCATTTAAATCGGTTGAGTAGTTTACGAGTCCATAGCGGACAAACAACGTGACGCGTAATTTATAAGACTTTTTAATACATTCCAGTGTATCATCCAAACTGTAGACTCCCTCATCACGTAGACCGGTCGTATGGTGCATATCTTCGTAAAGTGAGCGAAGCGAGAAATGTGCCCCCACCACATCTGACCGGGAAGGATAGGTTCAAGTTTGGTGCTGTGTAAGTTGACACATTAGCAGATTCTCAACTTTGAGTATAATGTAATGTTGCATGTGCTGAACATTTTTTAGAGGAAGCAATTTTATTTATGGGACATGAAGGGGAGTCAGTACAAGCTTAAACCCAAGTTTAGCTAACACAATGTACAATTATGAACGTCAATAAAGAAATACATAATTAATGCTTCTAATTTTACATTTACTGCCAGTTCTCAAATCAAGGGCGTAGAACGGAAGAGAAGAACTGGCAATAAACTCTCCGCCACTCTTTTTAATCGCCAAGTTTTTTAAGTTAAACCCAAGTTTGTGGGGTTGGCGCCCTTGTCCCCCGGCAGCCATCTTGGTAAAGGGGGGTGAAAACACGTTTTTGGCTATATCTCCTAAATCATTTTACCAAAAATTTGTAAAGAAATATGTTGTAGCAAGTTTTTAAGTGAAAGAGTAACAAACATCCATCCGTACTAACAAATCTTCGCGTTTATAATATTAATAGGATTGTTGTTAGACTTATTCATAGAAAAAAATTGTAATTAAGAGTGATTATAACTAAAAAGTGAAAAATAATTCCTAATTTAGGCTGAAAATGGTAATGAACAAAAAATACTGGTATTATTGTGAAAAAGCGTGGGGCGCTCTGTGCCATATTTTTCGTCTATCGAGCAAACCATTTTCAGCCTAAATTAGGAGTTATTTTTCACTTTTTAGTTTGATGTGTTTTAAAAGCGTGTTTTTTTAGTTTTTTTTAACTATTATTTTTTTTAGTTAAATTATTTTTTTTTCTTCGGATTATTGCATTGTCATCGATCTATGACAGGTGCGAATTAAATCTGTCCGTTTAAAGTGGGTCAAAATCGAGTCCGAAGGAGTCGGTTACATACATACATACAGGTGAAGCTAATATAAGCGTGTTAAAATGTAAATTGTTTATTCTGTATTTTTTTGTTATCACCGGTTAGTTAACAAGTAATGGACCGTGTAGTGTGGTGTCAGGCACCAAGATCACCTCTTTATGGGTTTTTGGTTTATAAAGCACAAACTTTCAGCCCAAAGAAGCTGCTTGCTGTACCATGTGCGACACCGGATTTTCAACCACCTACTCCTGCGTGCACAGTGGGACCAACGAGACCAAGGAACAGGGCGACGCAGAGTCTGTATAGGTATGAGACATTTCGTCCGATTTATATATAAAAAAGTCATTACTTCAAAGTTGGATGAAGAATGCCCGTGTGCATTTGTTTTTATTGATTTTTGATTGCATTAATGATTGCATTTGCAATGCCCTCATCGAGGCCGTTCAAATATTACGTAAGCACTTGGAGGTGTGGTTTCTTTGATTTTCTTATGTGGTGAGTACGTCAACTGTAATTATTTTATATTGTATATTACTTTTTTACACATATTACCCACACATTGTCTATGATTGAAAACGAAATGCATTTTCGAGGATTCCTACAAAAAATTAATACGTTTATGTACTATTTTTTTTGAGAGCTTTGCTTACTTTTACTGACAAGAGGAGGGGGGAGGGATAAATTGCAGTAAATCTGCTTACGCAATACTTGAACGGCCCCATAAGCGCTTAGTTAGGATTTAATAAAAATATATGGAATTTAATTACATTAATTAACCCTACAAAATGCTCAAATCTAAAAAACATAATATGTACAGGGAATCTTCAGCTCAAACGATACCGTGGCAACCGGAAGCGAGACCGGCGGAATCATGCCAGGAAACACCGGAAGTTGTCTATCTTGACAATTTACAATGGGGTAAGTTAAGGCTGTCTTCCATGTAATTTTCTTTAGTTGCTAGCTTTAGTAGTGTTCAAGGTACAAATACGCGCATTAACGTTAAGATTAATCAATTGAAACTTTATAGTAGGTAATTAAAAGATTACGGTTATACACATATTTCGTTTAAATGTCGTTGATAAAAAAATGGAGGCCGCCTGGCAAAAATTTTATCAAATAGCAAGGCTATATCCGTCTCCAATGTGAATTAAAGAAAGTGCGTGCGTACAAAGCACACATGTCAGAAGTGAAACTTCTTTGGGAAACTAATTTTTAAGTATTGTTATACAAATCTAAAACTATAGATTTCCGAGACTTAGAGGAAGGGAAACTAATTTTTAAGTATTGTTATACAAATCTAAAACTTTAGATTTCCGAGACTTAGAGGAAGGGAAAAGGGAAAGGATATATTAGGAGTTTAATGAATTTAATTGTCATTAAAATATTAAGTGTCGAAAATTAATACAAATTATAAATTTAATTTATTTCTTTGATAATAAAAACACGTGTCATTTTAATTTACAATTCGTCATTTGAGATTTCAATAAATTATTTTGCATAAAATATTGCAATAATAAGTACCTCATAAATTCTCTTTACGAAATTTTAATTTTAAAAATAGAATTTCTATAAGGTAATTCACCCTTCTCACACTCTCTTTAAGATCGTGTAAACTGAGGGAAACTTTCAAATGGAAATAATTTTTGCCCTATTAGTATTGTTGCTCTATGCAATATATCCCCATATTAAGGTTAAAAAAAACAGAGCAGTGTTGGCCTAGTGCATGATCTTGAATTTGTGGGGCTCTGGGCTATTACGAGGAAGTCCCCCGTAATAGATGCCGACGGGGAATTCCCCGTTCCGTTCGATAGACGCGCATCGCACATGGGTTGATTGATCTCAGGTATTCCAACCTTATGATTGTATTATTTTTAATATCTGCAGTCCGAAAAGCCCTTAAGTAGATCCGCCCCTGGCCTAGTGGCTCCGGCGTACGACTCTCATCCTTGAGGTCGTAGGTTCGATCCCCGACTGTGCACCAATGGACTTTACTATGTGCATACATACATTCGCTCAAACGGTGAAAGAAAACATCGTGAGGAAACTTGCCTTAGACCCAAAAGTCGAGGGTATGTGTCAGGCACAGGAGGCCGATCGCCTACCTAAACCTGAGGCCCAGACCTAAAAAGATTGTAGCGCTACTGATTTATTTTATTTATAAAAGAACAAATGGCCATTTCGGTGTTGGCTTCAGATTTTTGTATCTGTTTGGTGATCATTAATTTGTGTCTGACACGCCTAGGGATATGCATTCGACTGAATACGAGCAAGGGTTAAGCACAGCAGGGGTTCGAACCCACGACGTCAAAGAAGAGAGTCGAAAACACGAACAAAAGTGTCCACTTTATTACTAAGCTGTGGAAATGTGTGTACATGATTATATTTCGTTATTTGTGAAGCGTATAGAAATGTTAAATTAAAAAAAAAGGTTTTCGGTTAATTTTATAAAAGTGACTAAATAATAGTTTTATAATTATTATTATTAAAACTAGCGGGCCCGACAGACGTTGTCCTGTATGATATTTCAAGCGATTAGGATATTAAACAAAGTATGAAAGTGCCGACTGCAGCGCCATCTGCCGGGCTGATTTGTGAATCTATACCATCTAGGGCTCCACCCAAACGTATTTAAAAAATCATTCAAATCGGTCGTCACGTACAGTAGAATTATATATATATATATATATATATAAAAGTGACTAAATTATACTGTATAATATACGTAAGCTATCCTATCTTCTTTTTTTTTTATTATGGCTCTGGCACGATTTGTGCATTAGCCAGCGTCAAGTATAGGATTTTTTACAATTCGTGCTTGTCTTTAGAAATCCGACCGTGTCCTCCATGTACGGTTTAAGCACTCGCCCGGTACCGCTCAACCCTCCCAAAGGCCGAGAACAAATTTAAATTAAATTAAAACTTGCCCTCGAACCGGGAATCGAACCCGGTACCCCTCACCTAGCTGCCACTTAATAAGACCGCTAGGCTATGAGGCCCCCTATATCCTATCTTTTAAGTTAGATCAAACTGCACACGGTGTGCAAATTTGATTAAAATCGGTTAAATAGTTTAGGAGTCCATAGCGGTCAAACAACGTGACGCGTAATTTATATACGTATATATTAAGATAATTTATCATTCATAATTGTCATTGTTAGTATGCTCTGTTGTACAATGTGTCTCTATGTGTATATTAATGACTATTATATACAATTCAAAGTAGGTACCTACTTCCTACAATTAGTCAAATAAAAACAGAAATATTTTCCAGGCCCGGGAAAGCCCTACCGAGTTGGGGATTTGCCCGCCGACTTTCATACCACGGAGATTATCAACAAGTTAGTATATTATATATACAAAATATATTTTATAATTGTTGTGTAACACAAAACTTCAAAGAACAGATAGTCGTAACAGACGATGACGTTGTTATTAAGAACCTAATACAATAGAATTGAGCTGGGACCTAAAAATTTGGTCAATATAACCGGTATGTTGTTCTACACGATGTCGTCATAAATATTTTTTTTTGCGATAATTCTTGCCCAAAAGGCCTAAAGACAGTTAGTACAGTTATAGAGGACAAGTCTTTGTTTTTAATTTATGTTATTATTATTAATTACTTAAGATGTCATGTGGAACATGGTGTAAAGGTTGCAGCTCCTTACAAACGTTGTGTAAAAATAACATGGCGATTGAAAAGAGTGGCGGAGAGTGTATTGCCAGTTCTTCTCTTCCGTTCTACGCCCTTGATTTGAGAACTGCCACTAAATGTAAAGTTAGAAGCATTTCATATACATTACCTTTTTTGACGATCATAAGTGTACAATGTGTTACCTATATGATTAAATGTTTTTTTACTTTTACTTAATTCCAGAATGCGTCATGCCCGTAAATGGACCCAGTTGATTGAGAAAGGTCAGTTCCCGAGATGGATGAAACGCCAGGATGCTATCATCACAGACATCGAAACCAAGGATTGGATATTCAGAGAGGCGGTGAGTTTATTTATTTATTTCTACAAAGAATACATTACCCACAAATTGTGATAGTTTTAAAGTGAAACTTCTTTAGGCGCATGAGGGTAATTTTTTACGGATGAAACGCAATATTAGCGTCACGAAGATGTGCAGCATTTTTGTCTAAGAAAAGGGAGAGAGCGATTGAGAGAGTGTGAGAATGGCGAAATACCTTATAGAAATTCTAGTTTTAAAATTAAAATTTCGTAAAGAGAATTTATGAAATATTAGTATTTTATATTTTATGCAAAATTATTTTCTTGAAATCTCGAATGACAAATAAAATATAATAAAAAAATTAATTTGTATATCTATTCACAAATATAGGTATACAAATACATGGAGTGATCATATACTGGTACATGATCATCAATTGGGTATTTTACCTTAGTAATAATTCATTTACAAAGAAGTGTCACTTCTGACATGTGTACTTTGTACGCACGCACTTTTTTCTGTAAACCGAAGCTTTCATTACAATTTTATAAATTAAACTGTTTGTTACGGGCTCATGCCCACGAGCGGGTCTATGTCCGGTCGACAGTCGTGTATGGGACACTATGACGCCATGCACACGACGCCGGCGCTAGCGCCGGCTCTCCGCGCAGCCGGGCACGGTGCTCGCCGTGTCTACGCCCGTTGCGCAGTGGAGTATGGCAGTGTATGAGCGCATGCACACGAGACCGAGCCTACACCTGGCGCGTGCCGACTACCTACGCAGTACGCACAACGCAATATTATGTTATATAATTATTGAAGTCGACCAGGAATTATTAATTGGAGATATACTACTGCGCATATTTGTATCTTCATGTTTAAGTTTGGGTTCCAAAATACATAACATTTTTATGTTTCTTTTTTCATTCGAAAGTACTTCTCAAATTTCTTGTCATAGTTTCTTCTGAATGAGCGTATGAAATGCACCATGATCTTCTCTTTCTGTTAACATGGGAGGTACCCAATGTCGTCTATGTATTTTTTCTCGTCTTTTTTTAGCTTTTTATACATGTACCACGCAATAATACATTTCCTCTTTTTAACACTCAACATTTTATACGTCCACAATTCATTGAATGAAAAGAGCGTATGAAGGCGGCACCTCGATGAAACCGGGTCGTGTACAAACCGTCTTGTGTGCAAGCTCGGACGTGTTCTACCCGGCGCCGGCCAAAAACCGGGCCGTGTTCAAACCGGCTCGTGGGCATGAGCCCTTAGGGACAAAGGTGCAATAATTAAAATGCCGGGCCATAAAAGCACAAAGTTAGGAATTAAATGATTACCCTACCATAGTGCGATTTCTTGGTGATGGCTGCATACCCACTAAACCACGACGGTACCACCAAACATTATGTGTAACAGCGGAGAATTATCCGCCTATAATACTACACGCACAGAAATGCGTACATACAAATATCTCAAAAGTTAAACCGATTTCTGTGAATTTTGGACTGTTCCCTATGATAATAGTCATGATTCATTTGTTTATTCTTCTTCTTTTCTTTTGTTTTATTATGTCTAAGTTATTGGAACGAAGTTCCTTACGGCAGGCTTGGAGGAGATAGGGATTTTGCTGCGCGACCAAACTGAAAAAAATGTCATAGTAAAACCGTAAGAAAAAGTCCGTGGAATAAAACCGTTAAATGAGACGTGCGCAGGCGCGACAGTCGTATACACAAGCGAGTAGTGTATAATACCTTTCTCTTTCTCCCTCTTTCTTTATTATTTTGTAATTATTTCTATGTAATTTTATGTTGTCAAACAATAATAAAGAGACATATTTTGTTATTTTAGTTGATAATTTTAATAACGATTTTTTTTATTTTATGTAATTTATTATTTCCTAAAATACTGAATTTCCTAAATACTTTCCTGTACTTAAATAAAAACTAATCAGCAAAATTTAAGAGAAAAATCAAGAAAACCTACATAAAATTGAGCACGATTTTTTTTCGCAAATTGTGTCGATTCTACATTAGCCGAAGGAACTTCGTTCCTACCTGGTGTCCCAAGACACCACATCTTTTTTTTATATCTTGTGAAGTTTTGCACTTCTTGTGCTCACTTTATTTAATTTTTCTCCTCATCTGGAACACATCGCTCGTCCTTCTTTTTATTTGATTAATTTAATTGTATTTTTTGCAACGAAGCGTAAATAGATAAGCGTTCAATGGCTGACAATTTACAACTGCAATGATCGAAACTATTAGGGCTGTAATAAGATTGTTTTTGTTTTTATAAAAATATTGTTTTTAATTTAAAATAGTTAAGATACCCTCTGGTGGGTATACTCAAACTCAAACTCAAACTCAAAATATCTTTATTCAAGTGGGTAACCAAGTACACTTTTGAATCGTCAAGTTAAATTAATCGTAAATTTACATTTACTACCAGTTCGCAAGTCAAGGGCGTAGAGCGGGTAAGAAGAACTGGCAAGAAACTTTCCGCCACTCTTTTTAATCGCCAAGTATTGTCATACAAATTGTTTGAACTGGAGCAATTCAATCCCAAGGATTAGGATCATTTAAGTAGTCCTCAAATTTATAAAAAGCTTTGTTGATTAATTTTCGTTTAACGAGGGCTTTGAATTTATTTAGTGATAATACTCTAATTTCGCTTGGGAGTTTTTTGTAAAAACGAATACAATTTCCATATAAGGAGTGGTTTATCTTTTGGAGCCTGGTTGGTCTTACACTCAAATTAGTTCTATTTCGCGTATTATACTGGTAAAAGTCACCATTTGTTTTAAAATCGTTTATATTTTTTTGGACATACAACAAGGCTTCAAGAATATATTGACCAGATAGTGTCATAATATTTAATTCCTTAAACTTATTCCGTACCGACTCCCTCGGAGAAACACAACAAATACCCCGAACAGCCCGCTTCTGCAGCACAAATATGGATTGAAATATAGGCTAGGGTTACAAACTTTTTTACAAGAAATAAAGTATATTTTGGTCTATGAAGAATATTAAACAGTATTTTAGAATAAATAATAGTTTAAAAAACTAGAACACACGCTTTATATAGAAAACTAAAGTAAAAAACAGAAAATAAATTTTAATAAATATTAATTAAGAATAATGTAAAAAAATTTAATAAATATAAGTTATTAATAGTTTGAATAAGAAAAAAAATGTTTTATTGTAAAAAAAGCGGGGGTGATATTATCGAAATGATAATCCTTCTCACATCTGTCAATTAAATATTCATAACTATTGGCACCATGCACCCCACGCTTTTTTTTACATTATTCTTAATTAATATTTATTTTCTGTTTTTTTAGTTTAGTTTTCTATAAAAAGCGTGTGTTCTAGTTTTTTTAAACTATTATTTATTTTTTAGTTAATTTTTTTTTTCGGATTATTGCATTGTCATCGATCTTTGACAGGTGAGCAAAGTTTGAATTAAATCTGATCGTTCAAAGTAGGACAAAATCGAGTTACATACATACATACACGTGAAGCTAATATAAAGCGTGTAAGAATGAACAGATTTTATTTATATATTGTTTTAAATACATATTTTTTAGAGCTTTTCGCACAACTTACTAATTTACAATATTTTTTAAAAATTTCATACGCCGCATCACAATTATAACTGAAATTAAAATAAATGAGGAGCTCACGAAATTAATAGACGCTCTATTTCTATTCTCCCGCCACTTAGCATACATACTGCAAAAACCCCTTTCAGTAAATGCTGAGGTGGCGGGAACAGAAAATAGATGAGACAATTTTAGTTATGTTTTTAAATTCTTCTCAAGTATTTACTAATAAATGGCTCCACTTTCGACCAGTACTCCCTCAGTACTACTCAGTTTTAAGAAAATCTTTGTCTTCTGGCTTGCGATTCTGTAACTCACTTTTCGAACTCGAACAGGGGGTTTCGGAGCGGCGGTCGGAATTGGAATTCTAATAAACAATAAACTACAAGCTCCCTCCTTATCAGAATGCCAAATCGTAAAATGACTGCTTCACGACTGATTTGAGAGCGACCGCCGCTGCGAAAACCGCTGTGCGAGTTCGAAAAGTGAGTTACAGAATCGCAACTTCCGTTTTACGCCCTTGATTTGAGAACTGGCACTAAATGTAAAATTAGAAGCATTTATATGTATTTCTTTACAGACAAGTCATAAGTGTACAAAGTGTTATCAATATGATTAAATGATTTTTGATTTTTGAATTTTGCAAGGCTGATATTTAAACAATTTTGTATAATTCATTTTTGTTCAATAGTATAGTTGGCAACCCTAGTATATGCCTCCCTAAATGCCTTCCATCGCTTCAGTGAATCCTCCATCTTTTTAAACCAAAGTTACCTACTTGATTCAAATCAAAGGAAAGGCATTAGTTTCCGAGAAATTGTGAACGCACATACGAAATTTAGCACACATGCTCAGTATTTTCAAATATTTATATCTAAACAGGAAATAGACGAACTGCAAGACATCCGGCTGTCTCTCTTGCACAAGCAGCAAAGTGAGAAACGAGAGAGGCAGACAACACGTGTTGGTAAGAAGCTGGCGAAATTATGGGCGTGTAAGAAAGCTGATATGGAGAGGAAGATTGATCATATTCGCCTGACCAGAGATAGAGGTAAAAGAATATTTACGAGATATTTAAGTTATACTTCTTTTGGCGCGTTCGGGAAATTGTGAGAGTAAATTTTTCGCGACACCGCACACCGTCACAAAAAAAGACACCCTGAAGTTAGCATAGTCAATATTTTAAAATATAAAATGTCCATTTCTTTATGTAGAAATATTTTTTTGTGATATTTAAATAAACTTAATTTAACTAGATAATGCGTTATAATAAAACTTTCAATGTGTTAAATACCTTTTTTTCTATCGTTAGAGTCGTTCTACAAACGTAGAATAAAATTTTTGAAAAGATTTTTATCTTGTTACGCCAAAGAAGTATAACTTTTAACACGTGTACATAAGTACACACACATATTTTTATGCAGTGGGAATATTATAATGTATAGATATATCAATTAATTTAATCATAAAAAATTAATCGATATAATGTTTGCACTACTCTGCAGATGAGTTTCATCATCGGACGTCAAGGCAAAATACAAAATACTATCCGTATCACCTCGACGTCCGTCGTTCAACAACTGAGCGTTTTTAAGGCAAATTTTGGCACCACCACTATGTGGAACCAGCTGCCCACTGAAGTATTTCCGAACCAATTCCACTTAGGGTCCTTCAAGAAAAGAGCGTACCAATTCTTAAACAGCCGGCAACGCATTTTGGGTGATGCCAAAAAAGTCAAAAATGAGAAACATTCGTAATAGTGCTTTACGACGTTTTCCCGGGGTAAGCGATATATCACTTGTTTATTGTGTTAATAACATTATATTTTTTCAGAAATGCGCAAACTCAAAGCCCTACATAGTATGGGCGGTCGGGCAGGTTTAGTCGAAGCAAAACGAGCAGCTCGGGGTGGAGGAGACCCGGTAGCAGCGGCTGTAGATCCTACTTCCGATTTGCGAGCACCCCGCGCCAGACACGGGTACCAGGCCAAGAGGAGGCACGCGGAAATTGTCTATGATCCAAGATTATTGTGTAAGTACACTTTGATCTATTGTACCAAACCTAGATACAGTGGTTTCAATTGGAGCGTAAAACTATATTAGATGTTTCCAAATAAGCTTAAAGAAATAACAACAATCTACGGCACGGCTTATTGATATTCTGAAATATATAACTATTATGTTTTATTTATAATTATTCTGATTCCAAGGACCAATGTTTCTCAATCATAAACAAAGAATCGTAGACGCATTCTAAAGTTGTAAAATAACGAATGAAGGGTTTTGTCGAAACCATTTTCACAGTTAAAAGCAAAGGAATATTATGAATAAAACTTACCTGTGAGACAGACGAATGCTATCTTTATCAATGTTGCTTTGCAGCTTGCCAGATGGCTTTTCAGCGATGTGTGATCCAATCACATCTCCTATATTTTAAACAGTCAAATCTTTTTCCATTATTCTAAAGTCCAGTCCAGCGGTGTCTTGTCTTTGAGAATTAGCTTCCCGTGCTGTTCAGAAAGCAAGTACTTTTTTTGAAGTGGTACTTATATATATGTGCATGAGGGTAAAATTTCTACGGAACGTCATGAAGATGTGCAGCATTTTTGTCGAAGAATAGGTAGAGAGTGATTGAGAGAGAGTGAAAAGGGCGAATTACCTTATAGAAATTTTATTTTTAGGATTAAAATTTCGTAAAGAGATTTTATGAAATATTAGTATGTATTTAATATTTTATGCAAAATAATTTATTGATATCTCAAATTACGAATTGTAAATTAAAATGCCGCGTGTTTTTATTATCGAAGAAATAAATTTATTATTTGTATTCGACACTTAATATTTTAAAGGCAACTAAATTCATCAAATTCCTAATATATCTTCCTTTTCCCTCCCTCTAAGTCTCGGAAATCTAAAGTTTTAGATTTGTATAAATACAAGAGTTAAAAATTAGTTTGCCAAAGAAGTTTCACTTCTGACATGTGTACTTTGTACGCACGCCCTTTTTTTATAACCAAAACAGAAAAATCGAGTTTAAGTCGTTTTAGTCTTTATGACAGTTATTAATATAATTTATAGTCTTCTGAAAGCGCGATTCCACATTCAATAGCCCTCTAGAGAAAGACAACGATGTCCTTTTCCAGCATTAGAAGACCACCTTGCTGTTGCTGCTCCGCCAGCCTGGCTGGAGCAGTGTGGCCAAAACTTAGGTAGGACATGTTCTGGTCATCACCTGCCAAGAAACACGACCCAGCTCTGTGAAAGGGAGACCAAGTGGAGCGAAGAATTCCTTGAAAGCCTTCACAATGATCTAAAGAGTGAGTTACCTCTGTTTAGATTAGCTAAATTTGGCTTAAATGAGTTTGACGGTCTTACATGTGGAAGAGAAGAGAAGAAGGAAGGTGCTGCTCTTCCTCCGACCTAAAGCGAAGATTTTCGATCAGTCTAATATATGATCGCTGTACATATTAAGAATGTTGCCGAAGTTGGAATGTACCAACTTGAGACAATGGCACAAAATTTAAATAAACACCAAAGACATCTGATTTGCTTGTAAAAGTATTTTTATGTAAATTATATATAATATACTAGTGGACCCCACAGACGTTGTCCTGCATGATATTTAAAGCGATTAGGATATTAAGCAAAGTATGAAAGTACCGACTGCAGTGCCATCTGCCGGGCTGATTTGTGAATCTAAACCATTCCCAGATCCCCTTGAACACACACAAAAAAATTTCATCAAAATTGGTCCAGTCGTTTAGGAGGAGTTCAGTCACATACACACGCACACAAGAAATATATATATTAAGATTGTCAATAATTTATTTCCAACACACACACAGTATTAATAAGTTTGGTCCCTGTGGCAGTGTATCTTTAATGCTGGATTTGCTGTATTGCGATACGTAGAGCGAGGAAACCAACAGCTCTGGGGTCACCGGTACTATTTATCAGGCGCTAACATACATCTTTAATTAGCGCCTGTGCACTTGAACCCCACGGTCGAAGGTTCTCTACTCCAAAGGGAACTAATAATATAAAAAATAAAAATAAATCAGTGGCGCTACAACCTCTTTAGGTCTTGGCCTCAGATTTCTGAATCTGTTTCATGATCATTTTAAAATCTAATAGGCAAGTAGGTGATCAGCGTCCAGTGCCTGACACACGCCGTCGACTTTTTGGGTCTAAGGCAAGCCGGTTTCCTCGCGATGTTTACCTTCACCGTTCGAGCAAATGGTAAATGCGCACATAGAAAGTGCATTGGTGCACAGCCTGGGATCGAACCTACAACCTCAGGTATGAGAGTCGCACGCTGAAGCCTGAACTAATGATATACCAAGTTTAAGTTTAATTCACGATTTTTTTTAAAGTACGACATTATAGAATCAATTTGATTGAAATTTATCTGTCTACAATGATCTGTCTGATGAATATTATTTATTTTATTTTATTTTTTATTTTAAGCCTTATCTTATTTCCTAATACAAAAATATCTAATTATCTCATGGGTTAGTGAATATCTTTTACAGTTAGTAAGTATCAGGAACCCTCTCCGGTAAAGGCCTCCTCCAAGGCTTGCCATCTTTCTCTATCCCGAGCTATTTGGACCCAGTGAGGACCCGCGATTTTTTTGATGTCATCATCCCATCGAGCGTAGGGTCTGCCTCTGTGTCGTTTGCCTGGTGGGCCACTCCATGTAGTTACTGTTTTCGTCCACCTATGATCTGTGAGGCGCGCTACATGACCCACTATATGAATATATATATATATATATCATAATTTATATATGTTATATATATATATATCTTATAAAAATATTTTAAATATTTAGAGGCTCGTCTCGGTGCTGTATCTCACACTGCGGGTCCTCTGCGTGTGTTAAAACCACGTCGGGTTGTGGTAACCCCACGACCTCCCACTCCCGAAGTGGAGGAAGTGCCTGACGATGACGAGATATCCCACCAAGCAGCCCTGACGCTGCAGAGGATTATCAGGGGACGGGCCGTGCAGAATTTGGTAAGACTGTAAAAGATTTTTAATAATTTAATCTCAATAGACACTAATACCTTTAATAATAATAAAAAGAGAAAAAAAAATAGTAGCATGAAACCTATTGGAAAAGGAGTAGAATATTATAAAAATTAGAAAATAATTTACGGGTGATCTGAGGTCGGGAAGGGGAAGGGGGGAGTTTTAAGGGTAAAACTCTCCCCCTCGATTTCCGGCAAAACTAAAAGTCCTATGGAAAAAAGTCAAATGGAAAAATGGTAGGTAATAAAAAGATCTCAAACATTTTTCACATAACCTCAAAACTAAACCAGGTTTTTGGTTTTTTACTTTTATTATTTACAAAATTTATTTTTATCCCACGAAATTTGATGAAACCTTTTTATGTCCTAAATACGCTGTAGTCGTTCGCCTGTAAATTATTTTTCCTTTAATTTTTATAATATTCTCCTCTTTTTCCAATGGTTTTCATCCTACTATTATTTTTTTGGTTTCTAAAATTATGGACCCTGGTCTATTGTGACAGAATTCATATATCGCTAGCACCACACTAGGGAGGCCCTGTGTAACTAGAAAATAATTATTAGGTAACATTATCAACTTTGCCGTAAACGATTTCTAATAATATAATCTCAATTAATAAATGTATTAATAAATAATGGTAATTTTGAGATTTTATCGTTAAAAGCTATTAAAAAATTTACAAAAAAAATATTAAAGAAAAAGCAGTTTTTGCCACGCACCGCCACTATATGGGTTTCTTAAAAGGCCGGAAACGCACTCGCGAGCTCTCTGGCAATGTGAGTGTCCATAGGCGGCGGTATCACTTAACATCAGGTGAGGCTCCTGCCCGTTTGCCCCGTGGTCTATAAAAAAAACTTGTGTGTGGTGTCACCATTACTAATGGTAGTTCGCTTGATCTACTACAAAATTCGATCTAGGCTTATTATGGTATTCTTCGGGAGATTATCATGTATTTTTACAACTGTAATTGATTACTTCGCAATGCAGTGTTGGCCTAGGGGCTTCAGCGTGCGACTCTTATACCTGAGGTCGTAGGTTCGATCCCCGGCTGTGCACCAATGGACTTACTATGTGCGCATTTAGCATTAGCTTGAACGGTGAAGGAAAATATCGTGAGGAAACCGGCTTGCCTTAGACCCAAAAGTGGACGGCGTGTGTCACAGGAGGCTGATCACCTAATTGCCTATTATGTAGAGAGGAACGGAGATTACTTCGAAAAACAATAAAAGTATTGGCAACTTTCTACATGAAGCTGTTTTTATTTTCTAAACATTTTCAGTGTTACCTAGGTAGTGCAAATAATGAAACGGGTAATGCCTGATGAGTACGTCAGAAGGCGATATAAATAAAATATTTTTGTTATGTAATTCTTCAGCCTTTTTTCCTAATTTATTTTAAATTTTTAATTGGATTCTTGTCGATTTAGGAACCTGAAATAGATTGTGTTTTTTGTAAATACATAAAGACTTGATACAGATGTATGAAGGACGTACCAGGGCAGCAGAACTTACAGAGGAATTGAAAACAACGCACGGTTTACAAAAAGAAGATCGCGCAAGAATTGCTAGAGAGGAAGCAAAAGCCAGGGATCATGACGCTTTGAGAACAGAGGCTGAAGCTAAGGTAAGGTCGCATTGGCATCTTCTAGCACGAGAGTTTGCTTGATTCATTATGTTACGACATTTACATTCAGTAGGATAATGTTACACCCGCTATCCGTGGCGTAACAATAGGGTGGTAGGGCTGGCAAAATGCCACGGGCCCCCGACCCAAGAGGGCTCTGCCCAAGAGATATTATGTTGAATGTGAAGTCTCCAAAACGCATTGGGCTAGCGTGGGGACTACAGACCATTCCTTCTCGCCTAAGACAGGAGACCTATGGCCATTAGTTGGACATATACAACGTGTAGTTGAGTACGCTGAAAGTCTCTTAAGTTTATTAAAATTAAACTGAGTACAACGTGACGATTTTACTGATAGGGCCCCATCAAAAGAATTTGCCACGGCACCCAGATGGTACAGTTACGCCATTGCCCGCTATGTATAAACGCATTCCAATTTTTGCTTAGATTTCCGCAAAAAATTAGTTTCGATTTTTGCTTACATTTCCTTATAAATTTTTTTTTAAAGACAATTCACACCAATTGACCTAGTCCCATGTTAAGCTGGTGAAGCTTGTGTTATGAGTAATAGGCAACGGATATACATACAGATTATAGATAGACATATAAATACATATTTAAACACCCAAGACCTAAGAACAACACCAAATGCTCATCACATCGATGTTCGTCCCGAATCGAACCCGGGACCCATGGATTCGCCGTCAGGGGTACTAACCACTAGACCAATGAGTCGTTAATTAGAAAATAAGTTTTTCTCATTGTAAAATATAAATTAAAAAGTACGTTTTCCTGTTGAGAATTATGATACTGTTATGATTCTTTCTTTGTTACAAGCGTGAGAATGAAACCCAAACGCGTATTTGACTAGAGTTATAGGTATGTTATTTAAAGCTGGCGGCTTCAACACATTTACACTTTGTGCTTGTGTAGTGTCTGTGAATAAGCGCGAGGCGTGATGTCAAACTGAAATACAATCACAAATACATCATGAAAAGACTGTCCGTCTCTCTCGCGCTCGGTCAAGCTTATAAGTATAAAAGAGACAGTTATTGTTTTGCTTTTGCTACTGTACATGTTGATCTTTTTTCAAACATTACCAGGACAATCTCGTGAAATGGTGCACAATTTTTTTAATTATTTTAAGCATCTTTATCTGTCGAAAAATGAAAAATTATTTACACAAACTACTCTTTTACGTTCTTGGTCTGGCTTAGAACTTTTGGATCCACCCTCGTATGCACATAATATTTATATGTATTTGACACATTTTTATTTATTTACAACCCACCCAACCTTACTAAAACCAGAGTAGACTAAAATATTTAGCTTGGCAAAAAAGTCTTATTTTTAAACATACTGTATAGTGAAATTGCATTAGTGTGAGTACTGTGAACGCGCCAGCTTTCGATAACCGACCTATACTGTTGGTACGAAACGCGCATTGTGTCATTTAATCCCAATTTTTAGGAAGACGCAGTTACAGCATTAGTTGAAGAGTTGTGTGGTGGGGCTGTATCAGCTGCCTTGGACTTCCTAGAAAAGGAGTTGAGACGACTGAAGGAAGAGAGAAGACATCATGCTTTTATACTTATCGCATGTATTGTTATTGTTTCTTTGATAATCCTCATTCCTGCCGGGTACATGCCGTCTAGTTTTGTATGTGTGTGTGTGCACTCAGTTTCCGCACTTGGAAACGTTCTGCGTTGCGTGTGTAATTACACTAGCTCCTTCCAGAAGCTCTGAAGTTTCCTGGGAACTTCGCAGGCTTTACGACCTCACTGCTCCGAAGATTTATTTTTAGATTTATACATGCCTCGCGGTGGCGACTAATAAATCCATTTAAGTCGGGTTCCAAACATCCTTATTATTGAGAAACGCTAGAAAATACGCTACGAATTATCAAACTGTTCCCCATGTTTGCCAACCATGCCAAGCCACCACAAGGTTTGGCGGTATCGTAAATGAATGAATGAATTTGGACTAAAATTATGAATATAATATATCAACGATCTACCTTACTAATTAACTTTGTGAGATATTTTATACATAATAATACAAACAGACAGAAACATATATGTATTAACATAATATATTAAAATAATATGTTCTATAAACCCATTCTAGTTACGAAGTTAGATTGAGCGCGTCCAACATCTTCATGAAGGGTCACAATAAATTCAAAAATCTTTCTAAAGATGTTGTGTCGTTTGAATGGGACTTATTGACTCAAATTTGAAGCTAATGTTTTCAACTCAGTAATCAGTTAAAGCATCTTTATTAATGGCAGTACGCGAAAAGTCAATGCGCGAGGCGGCTGAAGCTGGTCGAAGGCAGAAGGAAGAACAGAGGAGAAGAGAGCACGATGAAATGTTCAAACAGGTTACTATCTACAATATTATTGCAAACGCATAACGGCTCGAGCGCTTACAAAAAGATTACTGTGGCATCTACTTTTCTCCAGTGGCATCTCGAAAAAGTTCCCAACATACGAACGGCACTGGTCAAAACTCACCGATCCTTATATTGAGCATTCTGATAAACGAGCTGGGTCTGGATATCCATAGTTGCTTATAATTGGGGTCATGTACTTATAATTTCTTCTTCTGATAAAAAGATTTCTGTTTATACCAGATACTTGGAGTTACACAAGAGACGGTAGACGTCTACCTACAAGAGATACTGCAGCAGGGCGTGGAATTGGCAGCACAAGAGGATGCTTTGAAGAAAGTGAAGTCTGATGCTGATAAAGTCGATTTAAGTTTGAAGGAACATGCTTCCATGTAAGACACGCGTTTACTAAAAAATCTAAAGCAGGATAAATATGTCTATTTAGGTCTGGGCCTCAGATTTTTGTATCTGATTCGTGATAATCAAGTCAAAATTATTTAATCATATAGGTACACTTATGAACGTCAAAAAAGGAATACATATTATACTCTGATTTTGAATTCCGTAGAATTCTGACATTTCATGTGTTTTTCAAGTGTTACTACTAAAAAAGTTCTCCACCGAAAAAGGGATAAATTTGTCTTATTTGAGAGCAATAAAATAAAATACTTAGTCAAGTGACCTAATACAGAAATAACAAATATTTCAATATCACGAACAATATATCGAATTAACTTTAATTACTTTATTTTATTCTTTAGCTGGCATCACTGTCTACTAATTCCAGGTTTAGTAAACCTTTTTAAAAAAAAATGTTATCTTTACTTTTGCGTTTTTAACAGTTTTTGATGAGAAGGGGCGTAATTACTACTCGCCGTTAAAACACTTTTAATTGTGGAGCACCGCACTTAATAAACTGGATACATTAACTACTAATAAAGTGTACCTATAGACAGATGTTCAGACTCGTATTATTGTTCTCGTCAAAAAATTGTCAAAAAATGATAGCTGTCAGAATTCTACGAAATTAAAATCAGAGTATAAATGCTTCTAATTTTACATTTACTGTAATAGGTAAGTGATCCGTCTTCTGAGTCAAGACAAGCCTTGGCTTGGGTTTAAAGCATGCCGAACGATGCTTTCCTTTATGTACATAATATACGTATAGAGATGAAAGAATCTCAGGGACGAGAGTCGTTCGCTGAAACCACCAGCGCCTGCTCTAAATTATGTATAACAAACAAATTTCTTAGAAACTAAGTCTTTTAGATATGATCTCGATTTACATCAGGAATATTCTGACTAAGGACAGTCCAAGTTTCATCAAAATTGATTTAGTTGTTTCTGATATATGTCCTATATCGTATATGTCCCGTACCACCTCGAGGCTGACGTCGAGGTGAACGACGGAGCGTTGCACATCTAAGTGGTTTTTAAGGCAGTTTTGTCTCACACCACTAATTGGAACTACTGAGGTATTTCTGAACCAATTTGACTTCGACAAGTGTCCTCCAAGAAAACAGTGTGCAAATTCTTAAACCGGTAACGCACTTGCGAGCCCTCTGGCTTCAGATGAGTTTCCTGCCATGCTCCCTTTTATATGATAAAGGGTACCCAGGTTAATGTATCAGTAAACTTTTTTAATTCTATTATTGGGGTTTCTTTTCAGGTCAACGGCGGAACAGAACGAGTTGGTTGCAGATTTGGTACAGCAATTCCTTCTGCCCGAGATCCATAAGTCAGCCAGTCGGATGCAGATAGCCGCGGTGCAGAATTCAAGGATGAATGCAGCCAGGCACAGCATCTTTGGGATCCTGGATGAGGCTGAAGATAGAAGAGGTATTAAAATTCCAACTAAGTATATATACAGCTTTTCTACCTAAGCCGAAATCCACTGGAGCCACTGAAGGACAGACGAGATTACTTATTTCAGAGAGCTTCCGTCCTGCCCTTCAGGCAAAGCTACTCGAATCTCGCAGGAGACGACCTTGCGCTAGTCATGGGCTCCTTTCCATCTGTGCTACACACGCCAAAACAGCCTGAGCTGAGCTGTTAAAGCTCAAGGGCATCGTCATCATAAAAAAATTGCGTGCGTGCAAAGTACACATGTCAACTTCTTTTTAATTAATTATTACTAAGGTAAAAGCCCGAATAGATGATCATGTACCAGTGTATGATCACTCCATGTATTTGTATATACAATATATAAACACTGTTTACATACTGTATACGTGTTAATGATAATATAAATAAATAAAAAATCTGCGTTTACTGCACAAGACGGTATGCGACATTGACATCTAAAGTTCTAATATGTAACTACTAAACGAATACATCAACCAATAGCGTGTATTTTTCTCGATCTCCGTTACTCTCTCTCTATCTTTCTCACTATAGCTCTCTCCCACCTCTCGCTCCATGGCACTGTCTCTATCTCTCGATCTTTCTCACTTGCTTGCTTCCTACTCTCGCTGCATGGCTATTTTCTTCATGCTACGTTCGCCCTTTCTCACTCTCTCTCAATAGCTCTCTCCATTTTCTTCGTCAAAAACGCTGCACATCTTCGTGACGCTAATATTATTATTATTGCGTTTCATACGTACGTCAACGTCATGCACCTAAAGAAGTTTCACTTCAAAATTTGTCACTTGGCCTTTGGCGCAGTCATTTCATAGACTGGAAACCTTCCTTTATCTTGGAGGAAGAGCAGCACCTTTCTCCACAATATAATATATAACCAATATTAAATGTAGTACATTTAAAAGGAATAATTATTTCAGAACTATGTACCCAATGTGGAGAGCCACTTGGTGATGTTTGTCGATGTCAAGTCTGCCCGATCAAACAAGAACCTGTTGAGACTACTGCAAGGAAAGACCGCAGATGGAGGTACACTAGAAGTGAGTATGCCATGGTTATAATGGTCAATTCTAGATTATGGTCAGATCACGTCTGTACGTCTGTAGTCTGTACGACAACTGACATTTACGATTTGAAGCATTTATTTGCTGACGTTATAAGTGTACATTGTGTTTCTTATATAAATATCAATGTGTAATATGTCTCGGTCAAATGTCATCTATAATTGATATTCAACAATACAGTGAAGCAACATCCTATTTCAACTTGCCCCCAAACTGAGCGTTAGGTAACGGGGTCTAATAATTAGTTATAAAAAGATTTTATATTTTCTTGTTTTTGTTGTTTTTAGGTTAATTTTTATATTAATGAGTTTTATATTGTATTAGCATTACTGTAAAAATAGGAAATAAATAAATAAAAAATAAAAAACTGTACACTGTAATAAGAGACAGAAACCGGTACATATAGTCCGCTCCAGATGTCTCTTTGCTGACAGTGTAATAACAGGTTTTCCCAACCTTTTTCAAGCACCAGTCTCTCAGTATAATACATAGCTTTATGCTTATTGTCAAGTTTATTATTAATAAAGTTAATAATAAAGCTGACCACGACGCTCAGAGATTAGCTACCGACTGAAGAGTTTAGGATTAGACAGAAATTAAGTTCGGTGGCGGTTTTTGTATGGAGATGTTTAAATAAAACTCTGTATGAAGCTGGATAACAACTGACTTTATTGGTAAAATATGAGCTTATAACTAACACAAAATTAAGCGTTGAGGGGTTGCGACGCTAACAAAAACAAACTTAGCTTGTCTACGGGTTCATAAATCTAAACGACACTTATGTTATTGGACATTATTGGAAACGAGAATGTTGAAATACAATTTATAAGTGTGGTAAAAACTAATGGGCTCATATTGGCTTCAAGTGTGATGAGTTTACATTTCGTTTACGCTTTATTAGTAACTTAAAGACATTTTATTTATAAGGATGCATTATCGTAGATTCGACGAATCCGTGAAGGTTTTCTATCACGTCACTGACGGTTAAAATCAATATTATTTATCGATCTTTTGATGAATCAACGATTATTTACAAGTTATTTTACTCTAAAATGCTTTTTGCAGGCCGTGATCAAGAAGTTAAGACACGCGATGAACGCTACACTCCTGCGCATGACATTCGCTGTTGGCTCAACGAATTACTATTTGATGGTAAGTCACCTGAAGCTTCAGCTCCTTCGTTTTCCGGTGTAATATTTTGATAGTTAAAACTAAAAAATTAACTTATACCTGACTGGTGTCAAATCGAAGCTATTTATAAAAAAACCATTAAAAAAATATGAGCTATAAAATATAAAACTATTAAACGACTAAAGTCTGTGTTAATTAGTGTTTAACTATTCAAATAAACGTTCTAGTAATAACAAGATCGCGTGAACATCGCGAAGAAGTGGCAAATGTTACATGGGATGTGAACCAGCTGTTACGGGAGAAGGTGGAGATAGACTTGGAGTCACGGGAGATTATTGATGAATGTAAGTAGAATAAGTTTTGTCTTCGGTAGAAAGAAGAGCCTCTCTCAAAGGCCAGCAACGCATCCATGATAAGCTCGCTTTATGGTTGTCCCGTACTCTCTTTTATCTTATCCTATAAAAACCAGGTGATGTGAAAACCTAGGCCCGCCCTCGCGTAACCAGTGGCGCTTCAACACCAGACACATGCCAGAATGCGTTGCTTTTTAGGTATATCACTTAACATCAGATGAGCCTACTACCCGCTTGCCCCCTGTTCTATAAAAAAATACGTATTATAATCATCCTCGCCGGTTAAATTTTCGTAATTATAAATACTTAATAATAATGAGCTTTCAATTAAATTTTTAATGAAGCTTACGATTCAATGCCGCAAAATTCCAACTGGTAAAAACATCAACCAAAAGGCACTGGTCTCTTTCTGACAAATGATGTTTACGCTGTGATGAATAGAGAAGAAACAAGAAAAGTGGAAGATCACTAAAAGTCTTTCCAATTGCATAATAAAAGTACACTTGTCTCTTTCTGACAAATTATGTTTACGCTGCAATGAAAAGAGATGACTTTAGTTGAAATGTGACAGATTTTTAATGAAGATTTTCATGTTATCTGTTTAAAACAGGTATAGCAGTGGCGACCGGAGCACTTCAAAAGCCAGTCAAGGTGTCAGATTATCGACATTATATGAAGGTGATTATTGGGGAAGCCCTGGACAGGAGCGAGCCATTCAGACCCAAAGACCTCTGTAAGTACAAACGTGGTAAAAGAGTAGCGAAAAGTTTGGGTATTGTTTATTTATTATATACTAGCAGACCAGCCAAGCGTTGCTGTGGCTAAGGTATTTTTTATATTACATAGTAGCAAACTATTCAAAGGAAACGGTAGGAGAACACCAGTCATGGGGACCACCATGCTTTTTTGGTGGTTATGCCATTAAATTGTAGCTTATTTCAAACGGTGGTACTTTAAACACAGCACTATCTGTTAGAATTGTGACTATCAAATAATAAACAAATATTTTGCAATAAAATAATATTGCGGGTATAAATTGAGATGTAAGCTATCCTATCTTTAAAGTTGGATAAAACTGCACACGGTGTGCAAATTTGATTGATATCGTTTCGGTAGTTTAGGAGTATAGCGGACAAACCACGTGACACGTATTAAGATAACACAACATTTTATAAAATATATTTTCTATATTCTATATAATAATTATAAATATTTACATTTGCTTAAAATTTTTCATAAAGGTGTATTTTGATAGTATTGCTTGTCTTTTTGTCTCCAGGTTCCAAGGAGCTGCCATCAGAGATCCGTCGTAAGGCTGAAGAGGAACGGGCGTTAGCTGATCCATCCTGCAAGTGTTATGATGAAGTGCCAACCACATCAGTGCAATTTGGTATTTACTAATATTAATTTTTCGCGAATAATAAGAAGAATATACAAGGCAACCGTAGATGGTAATGTCAGGTTGGGTAGACCAGGTCGAGGACAAGGCTAGGGAAGAGACAAGTTAAAAGTACCCATAAATGATCACGCATTAATATGATGAAAGTGAATGAAGCCAGAGAGGTCCGTAGTATGAGATCCGTGGTCTGCGACTACCACTTCTGGAAATCTTAAATTGATTTATCTTTTTTATAGAATGGGGCAGGAGGTTCACCTGATGTTAAGTGCTACCGCCGCCCATGCACACTCTTAATGCCGAGTGCGTTGCCGGCTTTTTTTACAGAACATGGGGCAAACGGGCAGGAGGCTCATTTGATGTTAAGTGATACCACTGTACATGGACTCTCAATGCCAGGCTGGCGAGTGCGTTGCCGGCCTTTATATTTATAAGCCTCGGTTTTAAACTGGATATTTGATCATTGCTGCGCCGTCTATGTCTTACATGACAGCGTTCAACCTAACAGACCTTTTGCTATTGATAATATATATACAGCAGCTGTACCAGAAGAGGAATCGAACCTGCTGCCATCAGCACTCCGAATCCTGGAAGAGATGAGGCGGTGCAAGTGTGACACAGTCTCGTCAACCAGTGCTACTGAAAGTAAGTTTTGGTTGCCTGTCTTTGCTAATTTTGCCCTCTGGTCTCACAAGGGCTACCTTTAATTATACCTACCCTTCCTCATAAATCATTCTAAATAGTGGTGAAAACTTCAATGAATTATGTATAGTAGTTTTTGAGTTTGACTTGTTTTTATATAATATTAATTAGACATATGCTCTTATTTATGTAGACATTATCAAGCTCAACAGTGCCACATACTTTTCTTGGCCGGTATTAGCGTCGCTGTCATGGATATTAGTATTGCCAGTGAATAAAAATTAACCATTATAAAGGGAATAATTTGAGTCATGATAACTTAATAATTTATTGAAATGTCTTAATAAAGCAATGTATACTAGTATCTAGAAAATACAGTTCTAGACTTAAATAAATGTGACACAAACTTAGGAACAACTGATAATGGTTTTGTATGTACTATTAATATAATATCTTTTAACATACCTAGCAATCAGAACCGTTCGATAATTAAAACCTTGTCCATTGTAATAAAGCAAGGAATAAAAATAAATTGTGCGTGTACTAGGTGTACACACGTAAGAAGTGAAACTTCTTTATGATCTTATTTTTCGAAAAATGATCTACTACATGCAACTTTACAGAAATTCGTTAAATTAGGTAAAGTTTAACAAAAGGCTTTTATTATCATAGACATGAATACAAATATTTCATTTTACCTTATTACTACGAAGATTATTATAGAATTTCATTAATTGTAATAGAATTATTACTATCATTGAAAAACGTGACGATTTGCTACAAAATTTCTCCCATACGTCGATAAAGAAGTTTCATTCCAACGCCGATAAAGAAGTTTGACTTCAAAAAGCAACATGGCGCGTAACCGAAAAATGTGACGCGTAACGAAAAAATGTTACACTAAATTTTTTTCCAACCTCGATAAAGAAGTTTCACTTCAATAAATACATTTTAGTTGGATTTTATTACATGTTGGCAGATAGTACCAATTTCTGCCGCCGGGCAAAACAAGTATACAGTGGCACTGTACAACTTTTATCTAGACCTCATTCATATCTCACATCGTTAGGCAGCGTTCGCGGGAAACGTTTTCGTTCGAACGTTTCTCCGACTTCACAAATTCGACTACCACGAAGAAGTATTGTATTTCTTCGAGCTAACATGTATACATTCACAAATAACCTGGCTTATTGGTAAAATAATTTTCAAAATCGGTTTTAAGACTTCAAAACATTCCTTAAGTTTACAACGTTACCTAAAGTTGCCAGGACCATGGGTGATTTGGATTGTTTAACGTACAAAATTAGTATAATCAATAGTTAATGTGTAACTATAAAAGAATTAATGATAATTATCAGAGCCTAGTAGACTAAAATTGTATGTATAAATTTTCTCGTAAATAAAAATAAATTTGTTGTAATGATAAATAAAGTTCTACTAGTAGACTCGGCCAAGCGTTGCTCTGGCTAAGATTTTTGTTATATTACATAGTAGTAAACTATTCAAGGTAAACGGTAGGAGAACTTATGTGAAAGGTAGATGACAGCTTATGTGAAACGTTGATAATTTTAACACAGCGCCATCTGTTAGAATTGTATCAAATAATAAACAAATATTTTGCAATAAATTAAAATTGCGACTATAATTTGAGATTTAAACTATCCTATCTCTCAAGTTGGATCGAACTGCACATGGTGTGCAAATTTGATTGATATCGGTTCGGTAGTTTAGGAGTCCATTGAGGACAAACATTGTGGCACGAGATTTATATATATTAAGATAAACATTTTATAAATTAAAATCTCTAATTCAGGAAGACTTTACCCCCAGGTCCTGGATCTTGGTTACTTAAAGTTTTTCCCACTAAAGTCTACCAATACTTTCTTAAAAACAAAATTTTCACTAACGATTCAAAACTTTATACATTCACTTTATACATTCACAAACCTAAACAACATCCTTTCAACCTGTCACGGAATGCTAGTAGGGCCTAGTGCAGTTTCTTTTTTACCTAAATATCATTTGTATTATGTATAATAAAGTATTTTCTTTCTTCTATAATGTTAACTATTTTATTTCAGGAAGTCCACTCACAGACTACGATGACGTTGATTATACGATGGATCCCACTGAACAGTCAGACACACACTTTGATGAAGATTAATTATATATTATTTTAACAGGTATATCTATATATATGACTCTAAACAAGGATTATTGAAAAAAAAAATATTTTTGTAGGTATTGATACTGTACAACATTTTTTTGTTCTATCGTCAATATTTTCCACAGGGCACGCGATGACAGATTTTATATGCATAATTTTTTCTCACCTTGGGTTATTTGATTGCATTTTTATTAGGGATCGCTTTTTTATATAATATAGCCAGTCAGTCAGTGAAAATGACGCTTTCTAATGGTGAAAGAATTTTTGAAATCGACCCAGTAGTTTTTGTGTGAAACATATATAGAGATACTGTATACAAAAACACAAATGTTTCCTCTTTATAATATTAGGTAGTATAGATTAGGGATGACCGTGTTAGAAAAACATCGATGTGATAATCGAAAGCCCAACATCGATGTTCGATATTAATCGATATACCGATATGATTCGATATAAACCGAACATGATGATTTTTGCATTAGTAATTGACATAGAAATAAAATACAGTGAAATGGTTCGAAATTTATTAAGAAACAGAACAAATTATTATATATTCTGATATTTTTTATCAACAGACTGAATGAAAAGTAATTTTGATAAAGAAGAACCTTTTAATATATTTCTTTGCAATATGCCTGCAAAATTTTAATAAACCTGATTTGTGGCTGCGTTCATAGGAGACATAATTTGTTTTGTAAGTTGCATTAGTCGTGCGGGAGGACGTGAGTTGACGTCGATGTTCGATTCAGTTAACATCTATGTTACGATATTTTTCGTATAGCAACATCGATGTTTTTGCTTTCAACATCGATGATCATCGAGCATCCCTATTATAGATACCATTTTTATAGTACGATTTGTCTTTAGCTACAAAATAGGCTTCAGTTTCGGCGATTACCTCTTCATCAGCGCAAAATATCTGCCCAGTATTCTCTTGAGGTCTGAGAACAGGAAAAAGTCGCTGGGGGCCAAATCTGGAGAATACGGTGGATGCGGAAACAATTATTATATAGTTCACATAACTGCTATGACGATTCTCTTACCGTAGACTAATTTGTGATAAATTTTCTTCCCTATTATACAGTACAGACGGGAATTAAACGCCCGAGTAATGACTCGGATCTTAATCAATGGTTAAAGAATTTCTGGAAATTGGGTGTGTTTTTAAATAAAATACGTAAATTTTTAAGTGTATATTACATCTATATACATTTTTTATATAATCGTGTACAAATATTAAATAAATTATTAAGTACAATATTTTTTTATTTATCTAAGTGCTTTAAGGCGCGGATATAGATTGTTTACAAAACTATACAAAACAAAATTTATTTTCTTATATTGGTAATAATGCATGTCAAAACAAACTGGGGCGTTAGACAAAATCACTTTTAGACAGGCGTGACCCACTAACGTCAAAAAATTTGTATGAAAAGGGTCACGTGACAGAACGTGAGCTAATGATGACATAGGAATGGTCCTATACAAATTTGTTTAACATAAGTGAGCCAGGCGTCTCAAAAGTCTCCGTCGCTGTTTTTAATTACCATACTATTTTGTAAAAAAGAATAGAGATAGAATAACTACAATTAATGTGCAATGGTCCAATAAAAAAAAAACATAAACAGTCACTGAACCTATATCCGCGTCTTTACAGTAACTATTCCTACTGTTGATGCTCTGATGTAAACAATACACTATAACATCTGTCTGAGCTGAGCAGGGGCCTTAGTCAAGATGCCTTAACAGTAGTGTATGTAGAAAGTCGAAAACTTAATTTGTATGGAAATGACAGTTCGTGTCGAAAAGTTTTCATACAAATTTAGTTTTTGACGTTCTACATACACTACTGTTAAAGCATCTTGACTAAGGCCCCTGAGCTGAGCTTTGAGCAAAATCTGCGAGATTATGAAGGCAGCAGCAGTGGGCAGCTGGTTCCACAAGTGGTGGTGCGCAGCGAAAACTGCCTTAAGAAACGCTCAGTTGTGGAACGACGGACGTCAAGGTGATACGCATGGTATTTTGTATTCTTCCTTGACGTCGGATAATGAAACTGCCTTATTATAAAAGGCAAGGCCAAAAATTATTACAGTGTAAACTCTTTGTAACGGCATTCGTTATAACGAAAAAACCGCAACAGCCAATCTCTATAACGAAGAAATATTTTCATATTATATATATATAAATATATATTATATTATAGAAATATATATTATATGAAATATATATATTTTCATATTTAGACATCAACAACATAGTTGAGTGTAATTGTTTTTATAATGAGCTTACAAAACTAACCTATTGAGGTGTCGAAATTTCTAAGAAAGACACCTGAGGTCATGACAGCCTTCTCGCCTTTGTTATTGTTAATTTCATCAACACATGTGCCATTATTCTTAGATTACAATGTCTGTAGGAAATTTTGGTCTCAGTTACTAAACGCACCATCGCCACCTATCTATTATTTATATATAAATTATTGTAATTGGTTAAATTTGTTTTTTCTTTCTGTTCTCTCCCTATAACGAATATCCGTCAATGAAATTCGTTATAAAGAGTTTACACTGTACTTATAAATCTTTCTTTTTATCTTAACAATTGAGTATTTTGTGTACATCAGAGTTATCTTACATAACTAAGTGATATATGAGCCGTGCGGTGGCATATTGCTACTGACAAGATATCAACAACAAATGAATAACAGAAATATAACGTTTTTGGTATTCTATTCCAGTTTTAAAGCTGCTGTTTCTATCTTATTCAAAACAGGCATACAACCAATCAAACGTATTGACTCAACAGCGGTCACGTGACTGCCAAAACCTTTGTAGCTCTACCATAAGCTTTACAATGTCTGTGACGAAAAGAGAAGACTGATTTACAAGTAAATTTTGCGTTCTATTTGCCCTCTAGTCGCCTAGTACACCAGTATACTTTTACAAAGTTTATTCAAATAAATTCTACAATTAAATTGTGCTTTAAGCTATAAAAGATATCTATACAGTTGAGATTGTGCTTCGAAAGGTGTGTCAATTAGAACACTTGACCATATGACAGAGACCTTGACCATATGTGTTCGTACAAGGGGTTCAGTCAAGGTGCCTTAACAGTAGAAACAATGTAGAAAGTCGAAAACATACTTTGTATGAAAATGACAAGTCATAAAAAAGAAAGTAAGTTTTAGACATAGACTTAACATTTATTACCAACAAAACACACACACAGAAACACACAAAATAACAATAATAAAAAAAATTATATAAAAAATAAAAAAGAATGAGAGATAACCATTATTTTTGAAGTGAAACTTCTTTATCCACGTATGGGAGAAATTTTGTAGCAAATCGTCACGTTTTTCGGTTACGCGCCATGTTGCTTTTCGAAGTCAAACTTCTTTATCGGCGTTGGAAAAAAAATTACCGTCACATTTTTCGGTTACGCGCCATCGTTTTCTTGATCCGTAGAGATCCGTATAGATTCGAAGCCAATTAAAACAAAAATATATAATAACAATAACAATGATAGTAATAATTCTATTACAATTAATGAAATTCTGTAAAAATCTATGTCTATGATAATAAAAGCCTTTTGTTAAACTTTATCTAATTTAACTTTATTTAACCAATATCTGTAAAGCTGCATATAGTAGATCATTTTTCGAAAAAAAAGGTCAAAGAAGATTCACTTCTTACGTGTGTACATCTAGTATACACGCACATATTTTTTTTATTTCAAAGAACAAGGTACGCTTTAAATATGTAATGCGTGTGTGCTGTGGTTGTAATTGGCCCTGGCTCAGCATTATGCTGAGGAGCAGACCGTTCCACATTGCTGGTCATTCTGCCACAGTAGCTAGTTTGCGCCTCAGTCGCAAAAAAAGAAATAGAATGTAATAATACTAAGCAGTATAAGTAATGAAGTCTTGTGTAATAGTTTTCGACTTTCTACATACACTACTGTTAAGGCATCTTGTCTAAGCCCCCTGATAAACACTGCTCAGTGCCCTTACACTGTAACTTCCAAGATTCCAATGAGATTTGATTCTCGCGAACCCAAGGATATTGAGAGGACTAAATTGGGGTCGGTATCACTAGTGGAAGTTACTCTTTTTGTGCTGAGGGATAGCTGTGACTAATCCCAATAAAAGTCAATTGCTTGTGTTTTCCTCGTTTACATTACTTTAAAAATCATTGAATGAAATACTCGAGTTATATTGAATATATGCATCTAATAAAAGCACCAAATCTATGTAATGGGGTGAATATTAATTATAACGGACACAGACCCGTATTTTGCAAATCGAAATTAAAAATAATATTTAAAGAAAACACTTTTTTACCGGATTGAAGTTATGTATTATTATAAACTTATAATTATTTTACATAATTAAAAAAATTCAATCCGGTAAAAAAGCGTTTTCTTTAAATGTGGTAATGTTATGTTATTAAAAGACAATAGTAAAAATAATATTACACTCCAATTGACTCCATTCCTTTAAATTTGTTTTTTAATTTACTGTGGAGTAAGCTGTACCAAAAGTACCTATGTGAATAGTAGTTTTACTTTACGATTTAGAAACGAGCACATAGTAATCATAATACAGAGTATGAGCCACAGATAACATTGGTTTTGATCATTTCTATTTCATAGACAAATAGAACAGGGTTCTGTCTGACACGTGTCATCCATTTGCTGGTATCCTCTGTTATCTTTGATGCCAGCGAGTGTTAAATGCGCACATAGATTGTCCATTGGTGCACAGAATCCGGGACCTCAGTGGTGAGAGTACGCTTAAGCCACTGGCAACACTGCTTCTGACTTTGAACTAAATCTCGTTTCTGAATTTTATCCATAGACAACGACTTTTAGTCAATCTTTGGAAAGATCATATTTTATCATGTCAGGTCTATATTAAAATAAAATTAAAAAAATATGTTGCATCAACAGAAATACATTATTTTCACATAAAAGTGTAATAAATATTATTAATTAAGAAACTTAAAAGCAATCTTCAAATGGAGTCATAATCCTAATTATTGTTAGCTTTTATAAACGAGAAATAATGCTGTAAGTATAATAATAACAGATGATACGACACTGTTCGTTCCGTTACACGCATCCGCGTCGTTACAGCTCTGTAGACAGCCGTGGACATATCTGGAAATTCCGATGTTTTTTATTACCACAAAAAGTTAGGTTACGTAACACAATTTTTAGTCCCTCCCCATTTAACGCGCCGTAGTTTGTCTGTATCGCCTCTCGTTACGCAACCAAGTGTCTATATTTAGGTAAAAGTCAATTAAATAGCGTAAAGTCGCTAAAAGACTTTTGTTATTGATTAAAATTGTTGTTTAAAAGCCCTTCCGCTCCTGTATCACCTTTTAACATTTTACAAGACCGTCCTAATACGTTACTTGAACGCTCTCTTTTGGCCTGATATTTGTGTATCTGTGAACTTTTGTTTTTTTCTAACAGACAATCTTCTATAGCTTCGACTTTTGGGTGCATGCCGCTTTCCTCACGATGTTTTCGCCCCACGCCCCACGCGTCGGAATAGGGGTTCTTTTATTATTACATAAATAATGCTTAGTAAAACATAACATTCAACAATTAGTCCATGAACAAGGAATGATTTCAGAGATTGCCCTTTAGTAATGAGAGGCCTCCAAGAGAGAGGGAGAACTTGGCCAGATTTTGCCTTCGCCGACGTCAGATGGTTTAGAAATAAATTGTACGCATTACTTAATGAGCCTTCTAGAACGTCAATCAGACTTACAGTGTTATTCTTTTCTTGGCCGGTGACTGAAATTGGTACTACCGTCGCCATTTTGGTGTGTACACTGTTCAATAAATAATTTTAGTATCTACCAACATCTAAAAATCCAACTAAAATGTTTTTGTTTTTATTCCTTGCTTTATTACAATGGCAAATGCTAGGTATCTTAAATGATATTATATTAATAGTACATACAATCATATCAGTTGTTCCCAGGTTTGTGTTACATTTATTTAAGCTTAGCTTAACTTCAAGTTGTTCCCCTTATAATGGTTAATTTTTATTTACTGGCAATACTAATAACTATGGCAGCGACGCTCTTACCGGCCAAGAAAACTATGTGGCATTGTAAATATAGTTTCAAGAGCTGTCAAAGTTTTTCTGTATGAAGTTTGACATATTTGACAGCATAGGAGATTGCGACAGAATATAGACCCTTAGGCTGGTTTACGCCGAGGCAACAACGTGCGACAGTGGCAGACCTTGTGGCATGCTACAAACAGAAAGCATTTGCAGCATATGTGGCATATGGCAGCCTATTTTACACCATAGAACATGTACAGGGATACACCATAGAATATAGCTGATCAAGTAACTTTAGCAGCAGCTTATTTAGTACTACTAAGCCTTGCAGCTTAACAACGAAAGAAGAGACTAGTATACTAACAAAAATTAAGGCAGACGATGGTGCCTTATTTAAAAACTTTACCAGAGTGTCAAACGATTTATTATTTTTATTTATTTTTATTTTTTATTTTTTTAGGTCTAATTATTTTGCATGCCGCAATGCCGCACAGCGTTGCCCCAGTGTAATATAGTCTTTAGCATATCGTTGCATCTGTTCATTTGACAATTTATTTGGGAAATCATTAAAACTTACCTATACTTTTCTATTACGACTTACTATAACAGAAAGGTTTCTAGTAAATAATACCTGTCATTGTAATAAAAGCGCCCACAATGCGACATTCGGATGATCTCCGTATCAGTCGTTGCTGTACCGGAATCCAAACCACATCCTCGTACTGTTATTGATTCGCCTGTGTCATCTGAAAATGAGTACCAGCTTTACAGAACCTATACAAATTGTTAATTTAATTCTGCTATTGTTCTAAAATTAAAATTAAACATTATTGATTTTAAGACGCCAATGGCTACTCAAAATGGCGTCGTGGACTGGCAGTGTTTGTTTTTATTTATTTATTTACACTTCGTTACATTTATAGAAAAACTAATAACATTATACATAAAAATTATAAGGGATGCAACGGGTGGCCTTATCGCTAACAAGAGATCTCTTTCAGGATTCAAAATAGTAAAATTAACTAAAAAGCTAATCTCATGAATTGCGATGCAATACAAAAGAATAAGAAATACAAGAATAACAAAAGTCACAAATGAGCAGGATATGATATGGTTAAGAAATGTTTATGTAGAAGAGTTTTGAAAGATGTTAGGGTAGCCAATCGTATGGAGTCGGGCAGCCTATTCCACAACTTAATGGCGGAGATCCTAAACCAATTGCCTAAGAAGGATGAGCTGTGAGATGGAATTACCAATAAGCATCTATTAGAGGAGCGTTTCATATATACCTGAGGATTTGAATTCATTTTTAAGATAAGGGGGAGTTTTGGGGTTCAAAAGAATTGAGCTTTTGAAAAAAAAAAATATTGATTTTTTTAATGTATTTTATAACTTTATTGTTAATAATATTGATATTTAAAGCAAAAAACTTAGAATTTATTTTTTTTCAATTAATTATAAACAATTAAAAATTGATGAAATTTAAATAAAAATCACGTGACTATAAACGCGCCATGAATGATCACCATAGTTTTGACGTCATAATGTTAAAGCTATTTAATAACAGTACAGCGTTTACGGTTATTAATATATTAAATATTAATATTAATTAACAAAATTAAATAGATCAAAACACTATTTATTATTTTTCTATCAAGTGCAATGAGTGAAAACTAACATTATGACGTCACACGCGCTCGGGTTTGTTCGGCGTGTTTTCGGTACTGGAGTCAAATATTAATTTTTATTTTGAAATAACTTTTGAATTATTGCGAAAAAAATAAAACAAAAATAGTTTTGTCATAAAACTTATATATGATCTTTCCATTTATCACAAATTTGTTTTTTTTTAAACCCAATTGAGTATAGAAGTTGCTGCAACCGCAGGCAGCTCGGATCAACTGACCAGATGACCCAGGAACCATACATCCTTTACATTAATAATAATCTAAATTTATAATTAAATTACATAACAAATTTCGAAAAAACTCAACCATTTCGTATGCAATTTCGATATAGAAATCTTAATAATAGCCTTGAGATCGCAGGGAAAAAACCCTAAATAATTTTAACTCGTTGTTACTGTTGGGAGTTGCAGGAACTTCCACTCAGAAACAGTCGTTTGTGAGTGGGTCACGTCACGCCCACGAAAAGTGACCGTCAATGGTTCCATGCAATACACAATATTTTTTTGCTCAGAGGCGAAAAGTTTTTACCAAAAAAATAGCTTGTATTTAATTTTAAACACTCTATATAAACTATATCAATGTTCTTCCTTATTTATTTGCCTTCCGGAGTCATTCAGTACAGTTTCATAAATCCGTTTGACACATTAATTTGGTTGCAAGTTTGACAACTGACATCTGACATGTTATAAAAGCGAAAAACTTAAGTGACTTAATTCATTACTTCGATTAAATCAGCTTATTATCTTACCAAAAACACCAGCAATTTTAATGCAAGAAGTGGCTGGGAACAGTCCATCCCTCCCTTTCCTTCCCCCCATGCATGGTGACTCCAGCATTTGTAGGGAATGGTTGTTGTGAAAGGGGTCATCACATGCTGGAAAGTTGCCCTTCATTGATACGCATTTGAAACAGTCTATTGCGTGTGCTGAAATATAAATAATAATAATAAATCTTATATGTAAAATTCTCGTGTCACAATGTTAGTTCCCATACTCCTCCGAAGCGGCTCGACCGATTCTTATGAAATTTTTTATGCATATTTAGTACGTCTGAGAATAGGCTACTATGTATCTTTCAAACCCCTAAATGTTAAAGGTGGTCAACCCCTAAATTCTAATTCTATTTTTTAGATAACATTTTTGTTTTTATTTTTTTATGATACAGCATACAAAAATATATACAACTTACAATTATATAATTTTCACTCCTCTACGATCAACCCCTATTTTTCATTTGTTAATTAAAATCTTATGACTTGAACTCTGAGGTTTATATAGAGAAAAATTCACAGAAAAACCTAAAATGTTTTCATTCCGGAAAACCGAACAGTCTCTGGGGTAGTATAGCAAAATGTTCCATGTTGGAATGTACTAAAAAGGTAGGCTAAGTACAATCACATTAAGGAGGAACGAATTTCGCGGGGGCAGCTAGTATAAATATAGTAATAATTTTACAAATACTGGTCTACTCGGATATTTCTGTGTGCCCTGTAGAATGAAAGAGAAACCCTGGATCCTATGTAATTCGGGTTTTTGTGGGTATTGCTCACCCAGTTACTGAATCGCAGATATTCTGGTGTGGGTCCCACATACCCCTTCAACTTTCGGGGGCAGGGGATGCGCAAATTGGAAATAAAAAAAGGATATTCCTGTGTGGGTACACTCTTCCTGGGTAGAAGATAAGAACAAAAACTTACTTCCAAATATACAGTAAACAGTTAAGGAAACTTTTATATAAGTGTGCGTATATGTGTATGTGTGTATGCACGTGTGTGAGTGTTTGAATTTTGGATGATATGGCTCTCGTCACCGACAGTGAGACGAGAGCAAAATCATTACCTGAGTTGGATAAAAACAAATTTTTAGCAAGATTTTTATCCCTGACCTTTTAAGATTTTAACCATGATAAATAAACAATAGCAATTACTCTGGGCAGTGTTGGCCTAGTGGTAATAGCGTGCGACTCTCATCCCTGAGGTCGTAGGTTCGATCCCCAGTGCACCAATTGACTTTACTATGTGCGCTTAAATGTCATTGCTTGTGGCGGGGTCCATGCGTCGGGTTCTCTCTCCCTAAAATATGGCGAGGGGGCCGATGGCTGGCCATGCGTCATACTCGTGAACGGGTGCTACTTGTTGTGACTGGTCGTACTTGAATTCGTGTATGCGGTGATGTTAATTATTTCGACTATGTGTTTGCGTGTTGTTCCCACGAGAACAACACGCAAACACATGTTGTTCCCAGTGCGTGCTCCTATTTCACCATGCCTCCTGCTGATAGAGGACAAGTCTTTGTTTTTAATTTATGTTATTATTATTAATTACTTAAGATGTCATGTGGAACATGGTGTAATGGTTGCAGCTCCTTACAAACGTTGTGTAAAAAAAAACATGGCGATTAAAAACAGTGGCGGAGAGTTTATTGCCAGTTCTTCTCTTCCGTTCTACGCCCTTGATTTGAGAACTGGCAGTAAATGTAAAATTAGAAGCATTAAGTGTGGTGAGTGCTATTGTTGATGAGTATGGCATAGAATCTGTTTACATACTAGGGGATTTTAATGCGCATCCGTACTCGATATTTTACTATGAACTTTTAAATTATTGTTATGATCAAAGGTGGTCATGTATAGATGTTGAGTTGCTCGGACCGCACTCTGACACTTATACTTTTGTTAGTGAGGCTCACGGATCACGGAGGTGGCTCGATCATTGTTTAGTGACAGACGCGGCTCGCCATTCAATATCAAAAGTGTATATTATGTATGATGTGTTGTGGTCAGATCATTACCCGCTTATACTTCATTTTAATATTAAGATTATTAGTAAAAGTTGTCCTCTATACAAAGTAACTCTGTAAACAATAACGTACGTTGGGGTCAAAGATCCGAGGAAGAAATATTGTTATATCAAAGTGAATGTAACAAGAGGTTAAAATCAATAGATTTTCCAGAGATATTTACGGATTGCGCAGGTTGTTATTGTGATAGACCTAATCATCAAGGTGCAATTGATATATTATATAACAATATTGTTATTTCTCTTAGTGAGGCAGCCGTGACTAGTCGGAAATACCCTAATAAAAATAAAATTAATGATAGAAATCAAAATATTATAGGTTGGAACAAACATGTGAAGCCGGCGCACTCGGAAGCGAGGCTGAGGTTTAGGATTTGGTTACTTCATGGGAAACCAGAATCAGGGAGGGTTTATAATGACATGTATGAAAGCAGAAAAATATTTAAATCACGACTAAAATGGTGTCAAAACCATCAAGATTTAATAAAAATGGAAAAACTAGCCACTTGTCATGATAAAAAGATTTCGTTTCGTTTTGGAAAGAAACAAAGAGGCTGACGCCGAGGCCGGGACTCCCAGTCAGCGTCGGAGGGTTAAGTGACTCGAAAGAAATTGCTGATTTTTTCCGAGACAACTTCTATATATCATCCTCGCTGAGACCGTCGCGAAACGAACTCAGTGCTGTACCCATTGGTGATAGGGTTAATACTCAATTTAGCGCCAAACATGTAAGAAGCGTTATAAGTTCTATGTCAAGAGGAAAGTCCCCTGGTCATGATGGGTTAAGCATCGAGCATATACGGTACGCTGGTTCTCATATATATAGGTTATTAGCTATGCTATACTCGTTGTGTATAAGTCATGCATATCTACCCTATGATCTTATGCGAACATTAGTTATACCGGTTGTAAAAAACAAGACAGGAGATTTGGCGGATGGTTCAAACTACAGGCCTATATCGCTGGCGACTATTATGGCTAGGGTGTTGGACGGTTTGCTTAATACTCAGTTAAATAAATATCTACATTTGCACGATAACCAGTTTGGGTTTCGACCCAAGCTGTCTACAGATGGTGCTATACTGAGTCTTAAGCACACCGTTTCATACTATCTGCGTCGGAGGACGGCGGTATATGCCTGTTTCCTTGATCTTTCCAAGGCATTTGATTTGGTTTGCTACGATCTACTTTGGAAGAAGCTAGAGGATATAAGTGTTCCTCAAGAACTTCTGAACGTATTTAAGTTTTGGTATGGTAACCAAATCAATAATGTTAAATGGATGGGTGCCTTGTCTAAGCCCTATACGATGCAGTGTGGAGTAAGACAAGGTGGACTGAGCTCTCCATCTCTCTTTAATTTATATATAAACGCTTTGATTGAGACGCTTAGCAGCGAGCGTGTCGGCTGTCACGTGGACGGTGTGTGCGTTAACAATATCAGCTACGCAGACGATATGGTGCTGCTGAGTGCGTCGGTCTGCGGGGTTAGACGTCTCCTTAAGCTCTGTGAGGTATATGCGGCTAGTCATGGTTTGAAATATAATGTAAATAAAAGTGAAGTCATGGTCTTTGGGGCCGGTTGGAAGGGTGTGTCCAGTATACCCCCATGTCGCTATATGGGGTCCCTTTAAAAATTGTAAAAACATTTAAATATCTTGGACACATTTTGACACCCGACCTCAGGGACGATGCTGATATAGATAGGGAACGGAGAGCGTTGTGTGTCAGGGCGAACATGATCGCCCGCAGGTTTGCACGATGCTCAATTGATGTGAAAGTAACCTTGTTTAGAGCATTCTGCACATCATTCTATACGAGCGCCTTATGGTCGAAATATACTCGATTGTCATACAACGCTTTCCGTATCCAATATAATAATGCGTTCAGGGTGCTGTTGCGGCTGCCTCGATTCTGCAGCGCATCGGGGATGTTTGCTGAGGCGCGGGTGGATTGTTTTTACGCCACCATACGCAAGAGATGTGCATCCTTGGTGCGCAGGGTGAGAGCTAGCGGTAACGGTATCCTCCGCATTATCGCGGACCGAGTCGATTGCCCATACCTGAATCACTGTTCCTCTATTTCATGCGGAATGATTCCGGTATGAATTAATGTAAACATACTAACACTTAGATTTAAGGTATTAAGCTGTAATTTACTAACATTGTTATGGAACCTTGTTTTCTGAATTAAACAATTAAATTTAAAAGCATTAATATGAATTTCTTTAATGACGAATCACAAGTTTACATTGTGTTACCTACGTGAATAAATGATTTTTGAATTTGAATTTGCGCATTTAACATTCGCTCGAACGGTGGAGAAAAACATCCTACAAATAGGGAATAAGTAAAAAAATAGAACCTAACTACTGATACAGCCTTCCGATTCTGTAACTCAATTTTCGAACACTCACAGCGGTTTTCGCAGCGGCGGTCGCGCTCAAATCAGTCGTGAAGCAGTCATTTTATGATTTGGCATTCTGGTAAGGAGGGAGCTTGTAGTTTATTGTTTATCAGAATGCATATGATAATAACTGACAACGCAATAGCGTTCAAATGCGAATTGTTTTTATGTAATTACTAACACTAGTCTGAAATAAAGTTTAATTTCCTAATACAGATTTGCCTTTCCATTTATAAACGGCAACTCTTTGTCACATCAAAATAGGCACAGTCTCTTGTGTGTCGTTATATATAGAGTGTACACTGTAATTGTTTTTTTTATAAATTATAAATTTTTTCAACAATATTCCGTATACATACCGGCTGATAAAAAGGAAAACAGCATAAGAGTCACACATCCTCTCCAGTGTTGGTAGATTTTATCCATTTTCTGTAAACAAATAATATCTCCATTTAAAAATGTTTTAAAGGTACAAAGTTCTAGGATACAAACTTAGGGTCATTCACCTTGAGGTCGTAAACTTTATTCTAAATTCTCTGCTAAAATCTTCTCCCCTAAAACATATGCTAGTATATAATAATAAATAAAATATTTTTTACAGTACAGTTTTTTTTTTAAGACAATTCACACCATTTGATCTAGTCCCATGCTAAGCTGGTGAAGCTTGTGTTATGGGTACTAGGCAACGGATATACATACATATTATAGATAGATAGACATATAAATACATATTTAAACACCCAAGACCTAAGCACAACACCAAATGCTCATCACATCGATGTTCGTCTCAGCCGGGGATCAAACCCGGGACCCATGGATTCGCAGTCAGGGGTACTAACCACTAGACCAATGAGTCGTCAAAGTTGGTCTACTATGTGCTTAAAGGCTTGCGGTGAGCAACGCGCGCTATTGAAAACTATATAGTCTATAGTATAGATATATATATATATATATATATATAATGTATAGACTCTATACATTAACTCTGTATTGCAGTTACAGAGTTCCAGAGCTAGTCTAACCTATTCGATTTCTACTTTATAGAACTTAGGTACATGAAAACTATTGCCTTAGTGTTTCCCTCTTATGCACTATGTAACATAAATATTTTTTATATGAAACTAGCAGACCGGCCAAGCGTTGCTGTGGCTAAGGTTTTTGTTATATTACATAGTACTAAACTATTCATGAAAACGGTAGGAGAACACCGGTCATGGGAACCACCATGCTTTTTTGGTGGTTATGTCATTAAATTGTAGCTTATGTGAAACGTTGGTACTTTCAACACAAAGTAGATAGAGCGATTCCTAAGGAAGGTTCGGAGGTATAAATCTTTGTGATTTTATTTAAATTAAGTATTTAAATAAAATCACAAATAACGATTATTATTCAAAAGTCGCAATTGCGTTGCGGGCGGATATGGGGCAATATGTAAATAAACCAAAGTTTACTCTCAATTAATAACATTAACATGAAGAAATTAATTATGCATGCACTTTGTTTATTATCTAATATACACAGATGTGTTTACGCGTTCATGACTGAACGACCGAGGAATTTTAGCACAGAAATAGTTCTTAAGCAATGAAACTAGTATATTTAGACGCCGGTTTCATTGAAATCATGAAATCTGATTCAATTTAACTCATTCAATAGAAAAGAAATAATAAACTATAACAAATGAACAATGGTTTTTACGGTAACATGGACGCGTAATACAAGTCTAAAGTTGGAAACCATTTTGCCCCACTTAAGGTATCCAAAGTGTCCCCGAAGGCCGTCCGCGACGGCGAAAGAGACTCAATAAGAAAAGAAAGGAAAAAGAAAAAAGCTTTATTATCTTAAATATATAAAACAAAGTCGTGTTAGTTACACCACTTATAACTCAAGATCGGCTGGAACGATATTAGCTATCTCTTTTTTGGTGGATTCTTCTCCTCTCCAAATAGCAGAATAAGTAATAATATCGGATAAGTTATCGAATAACAATTAATTAATTAATTAATTTTACGAATGCAAACACCGTGTGGTGTCATCTGTTGACAAAATTACGCACCATTTTACATCGAATTCGTGTCAGTTCAAGAAATTCCGACCTTGAATTGAATGAGGAGATACATAACCGGGCTCAAAGATCGGGATTGAATATCAGAAAGTGATTTAACATGCAGTATCGCAATATTATAGGTAATAATATATACCTACTTATAAGACTCAAGAGGAGAGTTATGGACTCATGCCTTCTGCCATGTCTGACATATGCATGCCAAACATGGAAATTTACAAATAAAACAAAAAATAAAATAAATACATGTCTACGAGGCATGGAAAGGAGCATGCTAAATATTAAAAAGGTACAAAAAATAAGACACATAAAAATTAGACAAGAAACGAGAGCAATTGATGCTCTAAGCCACGCAAAAAAAATTGAAGTGGAAGTGGGCGGGTCATGTAGTAGGGGAGTTTAAGGGTAAAAAACGGTTTATCTCGATTTCCGGCAAAACTAAAAGTCCTATCGAAGAAAGTTAAATGGCAAAGTTGTAGGTATTAAAAAGATCTAAAACTTTTTTATTCACACATTTTTCACATAACCTCAAAATTTATGTGAAAAATTCAAAAAACCAAGTTTTTGGTTTTTAATTTTTATCTTTTACAAATTTCTTTTTTTTTAACGAAATTTGGTGAAAACTTACCTTATTATGTCCCAAATATACTGTAATTTATTTGATTAAAAATATTTATTTTTTCACCTTATTTTGAATTAATATCGAAAAAACACCCTAATTTTCAATCGAAAATTCTGACGTCAAAATTTCACCTTTTTTTCAAAATTTGGTGTGCTTTCAGTTCATTGAAATCTCTACTTTCCTAAAAATATATATATATTACCATAGTAAATCTTCTCAGAAAATGCAAAACATCGTATGCAGTAACGCCCAGACCCGTCATACCCTTCCCTACTTCTTAGTTATTTTTAAAAAATAGAAAGATTGAAGAGGAAGGTTTATATGTATATTAGCATCCATTAAATAGTGGAGGTTTCTAATGTGCTATCGTAAATAATTAAATTTTTTCCGCTTACATTGCAAACGCAGGCTGAACCCTACGAGGTTTATCGAAATAATATACACATTGAAAAGGTCTACAGAAAACTCCGCGATGGTATATGTCTATCTCTGGATATCCCACAATAACTTTGTTTCAACATTTTTCTTTGAAAACGTTCAGTTATTCTGTAGTGTATTTAGTAACAGCATTGCACCCGTGTGAAGCAGGGTCGCTTGTAATAAATAAAGTGCACTAGTCCACACTAGGATTCCCTGTGTTGTGGGTAGCTGGTCTCTTTTATATCCTACTGATTATATCCCGGGACATTCATACCTAACACTGGCGCTAGAACCACAGAAGTATAAATCTGTTTCGTTATTTTATTCTTATAGGCGTGTAGGTGACACAGGCCATCAATTTTCATTTCTAGCCGGTTCCGACACTGCTCTCCTCTTCTTCTATTAACTAAGTATTTAAGGTAATTAAAAATACAAAACGATAAATATTAATTTTATTCTTTGGTCGCATATCGTTTCCCTTCCACTCTACCGACCATCATAAGTTTCTTTAGAATGTCGGGAGCTCTGCATGCTCAAAAAGAGTGTTAAAATGAACCGGCGCGGGTCTTTTAAGTGTTTCCCGTCCCCCACGCAACACCAGGAGGTTTGCAAGCGTACATTTCTACAAAGATCAAGTCCATCAAATAGAACAAGGTGAAGAATCGAGCGCCGCGTTGGAAGCGGTTCAGAGGAGGTGTTTGGGTGTTTTAAAAACACTCCAGTTTAGAATCTTTGACTTTTAACTTATATAGTAGACAAAACTTTTCTACTTAGTATTCGAATCAGCACTTACGAGCTTTAAAATATGAACCGCGATCGATGAGCGAATGAACCTCTAATTCTTAACCTACATAGTAAGAAATAATAAAGTAAGTAAGTAATAATAAAAACAATTTAAAATTAATAAAAAGAAAATTAAAACTAATTTAAAAAGATTGGTCACTGTGGTAGTGTACCTTTACCGCTGGCAGCATTTCCTCGCTGTATTGCGATAGGTACGTCTTCGTTGAGCCAGGAAAGCACCAGCTCTGGGGTCACCGGTACTATCTACCAGGCGCCAACTTAAATCTTTAATTGGTGCCTGTGCACTTGAACCACACAAACTAAGAGTCTCTATTCCAAAGAGAACAAAATCTAAGTTGTAGGAAAGACTCTTCTTATGTTTGAGCCATTTTACGCCTGAACTGCGGCCGCCCCAGCTTTTTTGCTTAAAGGCTAATATTAATATAAAGCACCTATTTCTACTAGTATTACGTCCTTTTCCGCGTAACACAAGTCAATTAAAATCAAATTAATCCTAACTAAATTCCATTCGTATACATTCCTAATTCAGACATCTTTCTATAATAGACAAATATTTTAGATTTTCCATTCGTGAATTCCTTTATTAAATCGTTAAAAAAATTACATCGCAACCATAGATAAATATAAATAAATTAGTCTGATTATTTAAACATTTGCTATACATCTGTCCGAATAGCAGAATAAGTAATAATATCCGTCCATATATTAATGGTTTTCAACAGTTCAGGGTTAATCTCACCTGTAAAATCACGCAGGTATGTTTTTGAAGCGCCAATCAATACACTAAACAATCAAATAAACAACACATGAATTATTAGTTATATTATACACACAATGTAATCACTCGTTAGTATTTATCACCGTAACTAACACTCGCAGTCCAAAAATAAATATAAAAGCTTGGGTAATTGTAGAGAATATCGACTGCGGAAGTCGGATTCAGAAAACTGAAACAATGTTGCCAGATGCTAAGCTTTTGACGCTCCACTACAATATGGTAGAAATATTTGGGAATATAGACTTTTTAGTAGTGAATTTTTTTGCGAAGAATTTCGATTTTTATCGTCTCAGATAATATATATAGGACTACATATTTATAGACTAGTAAGTCTACGTTATATATCTTACCCGGAATAATTGTCGCACCAATTGAATCCAGAACCTGAGGACATTAAGGTGTATGCGTTTAAACTTTAAAGCGTTTAGCGTACCGTGTGGAACTAGCATAAACAGAAGATAAAAGAAGCAAGCTTGATTTTACGATTTTGCTAATTGCATAGATCTGCTAACGTCAAAGATGCAATTAGATGAAGCTTATTTTCTTCATTAGTTTATAATCAGTAAAAATTTCAGAAAGAAATAATTCATAGGTAACTTAAGTTGATTTCCCCAGTTTTTGTTTCAAATTGATTTATATTATTATAAATCATAAATAATTGTACAAGTAACTAAGATTTTTATTTTACAATGAATTCACAAGATAAATGATTCACAAACATATTTACATACATTAACAATTAATTTACACTTGTCATTAAAATCTAACACTTTGTAAGGCTCATATATTTTTAAAATTACATCACTATCAATTTTTTCTTTCACATATATTTTATTAATTAAAATAATAAAGACTTCGTCCTTGTCACTTATTGCTAGTAGTAAAAAACATCCAAATTTGAAATCAACATTTTTAATTCGGAACACTGCACATGCTCCCTTTGGCATGATAAAGTTTGAATTATTTGCCAAATATTGTTCATGCTGCCACAGAGAAATATTGGCATTTTGTTTTTTTAATAAATTGTCTAAGCGATATGCTAAACCATCCTTTTTGTACTTGACCCTTTTGCTTTTTTCTGCAGAGTGTGTAGTAATTGAGGAACCTTCTTGTTTTATTGGCATAGACAAGCCTTGAGTAAAATCTATTATTTCTACCTCATCGCTGGTTTTTGAACTATTTTTGGGTGTAGAATATTCACTGATTGAATTTTGTGACAGAGATTCTGTACTTAAACTTCTCTGAAAGTATGATTTAATTTTTTCTACCAATGCTGTTTTATTTTGATTACTATCATCAGTTTTATAAAAAAGTTCCGTCTTAAACAAAGAAGGACCTTCACTGCTTCTTTCACATACTATAGGTGAAATGCGCCTTTTCTTAATGCTACACTGATTTGTAACATTTGAATTAAATAACTTTTTACATACATCCGGAGAGTTTTCTTTTAATTTTGAAACTAATACAGGGCTTTTAGTTCTCCGTTTATCAGTTTTTGGTTGTAAAATTGGTGATGTAGATTCCTTAATTTCAGTGTGGGGTGGCGAGTTGTTCCTCTTTAAGTTTGAAATAGATTTTGATAGTCTCGATTTAAGAATGGGGGAGGTGTTATAATTACCTCGACTTTCTTGGGAGGTATCTGATATTGTTAATTGTAAATTAGATATGTCATTGATACACATCATTTTACTTGCTTTCCTTTTCCTTGTCTTACAATGTTTTCGGTTTTGGTTACTATTGATTTTATCATTATTCTCATTATCACTAGAACTACTGCACGACCACACAATTTCTTCAGTACTATCTTGAGAATTTAATAAACGAAATCTTGTAATAAAATCTGTTTTACGATGATTCATTTTGTGGTATAAACAATTTCTTTATTAATGAATTTAACAATTAAATAAATAAAACAAATTACGATAAAAAAATTTGCACACCATTAAACACAATATTGTAAAGTTAATAGTGATTAGTGAAATATCAAGGAAGGTTCAAGACATAGTAATTTGTAATAATCATATTACTTAAAAGTATTAACTAAATCACAATTCACATTAAGAGCAAAATCGTCATTAGATTAGAGCCAATGCAGACCAATCTCCAATCATTGCACACTCCACAGTCCACAGAGATGTCAAAACACAGAGTACAAATTTAATAGAGGTAAACAAATAACTTACAGTTGTCAAATGAGCTACTTACTTACTTATCACATAAATAATTAATGGTTTCTATTTTATTTCAGATTCAAGAAATTTTATTTTAAAGTTATTGATGATACGGACCCAGTGTTACAAACCGTAAATCGGTTTAAAATAAAGTTTACCGACGCTGGTCTTAATATAATCTTCAATCGTGTTGTGATTGGATCAACATTTACTTAAAGTTGGCAGTATTGTCACAACATTTCCCATCTGTTCTGTGTACAATTTCCTGGGTTCTGTTATTTTGCTAACTTCACATCGGTGGGTTCTCAAAACAAATAAGCTTAATATTATAGAAGTACTGTGTCGGTCTCGGTAACGCGTGTTCCGTTTACACTGAAATCTCTTTGTTTCTTAGTTATTGTACCGATTGTGGTATCTTTTATCCCAATTCTAACTCCTAGTAGAATCTTAGTGGATTCATAAAACCTGATTAAGCTTTCTCCGTTTTCTCAACCGAAGCCGGTTGGCGTCGTCGCCACAATGGAAGTTGAAAGCATTGTGTCCGACTCTGAAAACGTGGTTATGGAAGAAAACGAGAAGCCGGTGGTAGAGCAAGGTGCTGGTGACGCCGCTGCCTCTATTTCAGGCCGTGTGCGTCGCAGGCACAAAAAATTGGCCCGTACTAACAGCAAGGAAGCAAGCAACGTATCCGCGCCGCTTCCGAAATATCGCAGCTGGAAGAATAGTCGTCGACCAAGGAACGGGCATGGCAGGGGCTTGCCTAAAAAAGGTAATTTAAATTGATTCATAACTTAATCGACGTTTATTTAAAATAAAGGGAAAAAGAACTTTCGAGAACGTATAAATTGAGTCTGTATTGAGATGCAGAAGGGTGGTGTTTACTATAGACCGGTGGTCGAAATAGGTTTGCGGCAATTTCAAGGTCAAACATTTCTGCGCAGTTAGATGCACTATGCCTATATGTATATATATATTTATAGACTCGCCCCTTTTAAATGCATTGGTGTAGGTCACGTACGTTGAATGACTTATTACACAATACTAAACAACTTTCAACATTGAAGGACTGTTTATTCCGATTAGTATTTAAGCTTTGCTTTATTTATATGTTAGAAATTCTAAGTAGGCATATTTTTTTTTTCGAAAACATTAAGTATGCCGATTTTACAAATTTAGTTTTTACTTAATGCAAGGTTACTTTTCTATCAAATGAAACTTCAATAACATTAGGTTAAGCACAAATGTTTATCTCTATGATATCATAGCATACCCATGGCATTTGTCAAGATTATCATTGCCAAGCCCTGCCAAGTCTAATGACTTCTAAACTATTGATGTCCGTGTCAGGAAACCTAAGTTATTAGTGTAAATGTGGGTTTGTAATAAATTTAATTAGTAGTTATATTTAAGTAGTTTCCTCTTTTTAAATAAAAATTAAAAACTGAAGGAGATGGTTATAAATTCAATAAACAATTTTTTAATAACTTTTTTGGTCGTAATTTTTTTGTGAATGCTTAGAGCATTACAGCATTACACAAATGTACTCAGGTTTACAAATATTAAGGAATACACTCATTCTTATACAATAATAATAAATATTTTATTTCCTATGAATTTAATGAGGAATTATACAATTTTGAGAGCACAACACATATCAGCCAATTACAATGCATACAAAAATCTATAATTGTAAACTAATATAGTAAAAAAAATATGTAAAAATACATAATCTATAATTACTAATCTAAGCTACCAGTGATAAAAATCCAATTAAATATTATTAATTAAAGTCAAAGTATGCTTGCCTTTATTATTTAATATACCAGTCTAATAATTTCCTCTTTCACTGGTTTCTTTAAAACCAGCCTTCTGATGAAGAGAACATATTTTTTGTAGCAAATTAAATTTAGTTTAATGAAGTATTCTAATTTTATGTTGAATAATTATTAATATGACATCTACATTGATATGGTCATGGGCTAACTACTCATAACATTGTTGTAGGCTTATTGTTATTGTTTTTGTGATAAAAACATCACTTATAACAAGCATAATGACATATGGTTTGGCCTGGAGTAATCAGTATGGCCCTAAGGCTGGAAAGTTTGGAGACCCCTGAACTAAGGCATATGTTATAAATATAAAACAAAATGTAACCTAATATGTCAAACTCGATTCTAGTCTGTAGGCCAGTCTAATATTATCTGGAAGCTATTTCGAAAAAACATTCTACATGAATGCTACAGTCTTGGCATCAGGTTTCTGCATCTTGATAATATTTCATTATAGGCAAGTAGGTGAGCAGGCTTGTGTTCCTACATTCTGTTGATTTTTAAGTCAATTAATTACTGGTTTTGTTTTAATTTCTTCATCATATAGACGGGTATTAATTGACCACATACAGAGAAACAATCATGCATGTATAGTCGGGATTCAAATGCAATCTCTGCTGGGAATATCTGCTTTAATAATAACCGATTTTTCACTAGCCAAGTGGCCAGGAATGCTTAGATGTAGAGTGTTTGAACTCTGGTTGTTCATCAGTATTCTTCCCCATGTATGCCTTCTGCCTTATACCTGTTCTTTGTGTTGTGTTGTCTTCGAATATAATTATTTAACATAGGTAAACAAAATATTGTAAACCTATTTTAAAAGCATAAGTGTGGAGTTTCTTGCCCATTCTTCTCCACACGAAACTACCTTTTGGAAGGGGCAACTAGAATCTTCTTTGTATTTTGTTTGACGTTCAAAAGTGCCATTTTAGGTGGTCTAATTGAAATAAATGATTTGACTTTGACCCAAAACAAAATCTAATGTCATGTTGGCCACAGATGCTTGATACATAATGATTATTAAATGCCCAATGAGGAGATATACCAGTAGTTTGCACAACTGAAAAATTTATTATCAAACAAAACTCAGAATAAACTTACCGCCTCAGTGGTAAATTGAGCCTCAGAAATTGCAAAAGCTATATATAATCATTACAAAATAACAAGAAATAAACATTGGTGATATAAGACTATTTCCAAGGTGAAATTTGATAGATTTTGTTTTTGAAGCAATCCATAGGGTAACCAAGTTTTATTTTATTAGTCTATTTTAAAAGTAAAACAGATTTTTGTTGAATCCTTTATAATAAATAATAATAATAAAAGCCCTTTATTCACTGACCTTTAACTTATATGCTACTCTTATTTAACAGTGGTATCTTAGTGGTCAGGCACAGAAGGCTGAACAAATGATAATGAAACAGATACAGAAATCTGAGGCCCTGACCTAAAAAGGTTGTAACGCCTTTGATTTATTGTTATTTTTTAATATTTCAGTGACATTCATAAACTCGGTAGTTACTGTGAAAACTGAACGAAAATCTGTTCGGGTTTTATCGCATACAGACGCGGCCGGGGGACTTTCCTTTAGTGTCTCTAGCGACACATCCTTTTCTATAAATAGACATTACAACAAATTACACAATAATGTGTCGAAATCTATTGAAAAAATCCAAGGAATCCAAAAATATAAAAACACGTGGTCATCGATTTGTTTTCGTGACTAATACAACTGCGCAGTAGCGTTATCGCGTCTCAAATTATCACAATGTGTGGTATTTTGGCAACACAACCGTCAACATATATTTATTAAGTAAAAAACACAGTTTTCATTTTATTTTAACTGTAAATTTAGAGATATGGCGCGATATTTCACTCGCGTGCAAAATCTAAAGGCGGAAAAATACTACTAAAACGCGACGCGACGTGTCGACACCAGCCTTGCGATTCTGTAACTCACTTTTCGAACTCACACAGCGGTTTTCGCGTCGGCATCGCATTTTGTGTTTACTTTTGGATATTCGGGACTGCGCCCCCCCTTTAAACAAACACGACCCTCCTAAAGGTCGCGACCCCCGCTTGACGATATCTTGAATACTCTTTTAATGAATGTGAATAATGATTTAAGTCTTATATAGGTGGTGCTGGTGGAAAGGGTGTCTGGGGTCTGCCTGGCTCGGAGATGCTGGAAGAATACGCGGAAGATGAGAACGATCCCAACTACGATTCTGAAGCCATAACCAATGGTGACATTGAGTTTAAACAAGTGATTGTTGAGGCTGAGCCTGAAGAAATTGTGGTGAGTTCTTTAATGGTGTCTCCAAATGCTGACGATTCTGAACTCCAGAATTTTTATTTCTTTATTGATCAAATAAAGCTACCATTAAACTTAGGTTTCCTAGAAAAGCGGTGCCGTTATCCAACGGCCGTAATGTAATGTTGGGTGACGTCATCCATACGTAAATAAATAACATCGGAGTAGGTTTTCTAGAGAACGTTGAGTGTCACCGTAACGTCAAATAGCGGTGCTGTCATTTGCATGACGGCCGTCATATCGGTGATAAACATTAGTTCAACGTTTTTCGCGTGAAGCGGTGCGCATATTTAATTAATACCATGAGTGGAAACGTGACTTGGAGGAGCGAAAATGATGTTTTTTTTTGCATTATGTTAAAAAGTAAACACGGCCGTTATTAACAACCGTAAAATGCCGGCCGTTACTTAACGGCACCGCTTTTCTAGGAAACCTAAGCTTTACAGATTACATCAATGCGTCAACAACAAACACCACACAACATTACACAGTAATAGATTAAAATATTTACAAAAAGAGTATTTCTTGCAGTACAGGAACTGACCTGAAGCAGATATTTTGTCAGTTTAGTATGGGTGACGTCACCCAACGTTACATTACGGCCGTTAGATAACGGCACCGCTTTTCTAGGAAACCGTAGCTTTAGGGATTTAACTGAACTTTAATTAAGAGTCACGAAATATTAGAACATTTATTGTATTAAAATTAAGACAATAACAGTGCGACGCCATCTTGTTTAGAAAAACGTTTTGGCGCGTTTTTGTGAATATTAATTTGGTTTTTTTTTAATAATAATCAAAAAAATAAAATACGTTTATTAAATTTAGATGCGTCTTAGGGCATGCTTATGAATGTCAAAAACGTTTACAAATTTCGCGAAAGAGCAAGACTACGCCATCCGTTCGCAAAACTACCAGGAGGCCTTGTTCTGAGAAGAACGGGCAAGAAACTCGGCAAGTTTTACCCTCCCTCTACATTACAATTATTCAAAGGAAAATGTCATAAACCACAACGTCATTAAACTTAAGTTAAAAAAATATAAAAATCTGTTCTGTGATTTACCACATTCACCATTACACACAAATCAAATTATAAGAATATAATTACAACTATTGCCAAGCGTTTTTATCTTCCAGGTAGGCATTGACTGTGACCTTAACACATTAAGGTTTTTTTGATGTGTGTTTTGAATCTGTTTAAAGGCAGTTCCAATATTTCACTAGGAATGTTATAGCAGCATATATATAGGGCCATAAATGAAGTATTTAATAATAGTAATAATCAGAGGCGCTACAACCTTTTTAGGTCTGGGCCTCAGATTTCTGTTTTTTTTTGGGTCATGATGTAATAGGCAATTAGGTAATTAGTCTCCTATGCCTGACACACGCCGTCGTATTGGTCTAAGATCCCGCTATACAACGACCTTCACCGAGATGCTTATTTAATGAAACTTATTTTATATATAATTTAATATGTCAATAAATATAATCCATATGGGTTGCCTAGCAAATTTCAGTCCAGAGTATGTTTAATTAATTTAAAAAAAATATTTTTTTAAACATTTCACCGGTATGATTATTAGATAAATTCTATACCAATCGAACGTATGAATCCCATAGAATATGCAAACGTTAGGTTGTTTTTAATCAATTAATTATTTATGTGTATATTTTTTATGTGACACTAAATTATATATACATCTTTAGTATAAAAGAAGGTTATAGTGATACATATATAATACTACCCTGATTAAAAATATTGATTGAAAAAAGTTCAAAAAATTTACTACATGCAAATTATAAAAAAAAAAATTTTTTTAAATATTAATTAAACATACTCTGGACTGAAATTTGCTAGGCAACCCATATGGATTATATTTATTGACATATTAAATTAAATATAAAATAAGTTTCATTAAATAAGCATCTCGGTGAAGGTCGTTGTATAGCGGGATCTTATACTATATGTCGTGTCAACACTGCTCAAAAACTTTTTTAAACCTTAACAGAATTCAAATTATTTTTTTTATAATATATAGCTACTGATAAATAGCCTATTTTATCAAAATATTCTCCGAAGTGCAGTTGATCGCCACAGAGCAATAATTTATTATTTAAACTAAACAAACCAGCTGATATTTGTACACAAAGCGTTATCAAACGCAAACATTTTGGCACGACCGAGATACGAGCCGCGCCTCGCCGGGTCGTTGACATCCGTATAGCGGTCAAGTGTACAAGACACGAGCGGAAGCGATTGAAGGTCGTATCTCTCAGGAAAGACCCCCACCGGGAGTCGATTCCACAGCTTCTTGATTCACAGTCTTGTGAAGCGGACTGTGGCCATCCATCGAGCTGATGCTGATGCCGTTACGCGATGGAGACTCACTGTGGACGCTCTCAATGACAGAGGGCTCGCGAGTGCGTTGCCAGCCTTTTAACATATCACCTCGCTCCAAGTCGTTCCGGCTCTGCCTTATCGTCTGTACGACGTCAGGTTTGCTTGGGACGGCCAGGCTTCCGCTTTTCACGTGGGTTTATCTTTTGCGTGTATAGGTCGATCACCTACTTGCCTATTAGAATAATTATCACGGAAATGATGCAGAAATCTGAGGCCCAGAACTAAAAGTTTGTAAACCGCTTTAAGTCGATCACATATACCACAAAATGCGTGGATTGATGTAATCGGTGTCGCAACGCTGAGGATTCGATAGTAATAGACGCGACTTGACACATTTATAAGTCAATTCGATTTGTTAAGTTAAGCAACATGTGGCGCGGTTGAAAAAATGATGGGTTGCCATGGAGGCAGTAAACTGAAATAAGTATGATTTTAGAAAACTATGTTGTTGAGTTCGTGAGCAAATATATATAGAGCAGTGTTGGCCTAATAATAACATAAGTACATACTTACACAATACAATGTTCTGAGCTCATTAAAAAAAGTGCGTGCGTACAAAGTACACATGTCACAAGTGAAACTTCTTTGGCGAACTAATTTTTAACTGTTGTTCATATTTATATAAATCTAAAACTTTAGATTTCCAAGACTTAGAGGAAGGGAAAAAGGAAGATATGTTAGGAATTTAATAAATTTAATTGTCATTAAAATATTAAGTGTCGAAAATTAATACAAATAATTAATTGAATTTTTTCAATAATAAAAACGCGTGGCATTTTAATTTACAATTCGTCATTTGAGATTTTAATTAATTATTTTGCATAATTAAAAAAAAATTAAAAAAATACTAATATTTCAATCATTCTTGGACGTCCGTCAGTCTGTGTATATGGATCCATGTATGTGGCAGAGAAATTGGTCGAAAAATTCGTACCAGAATAATTTTTTTCTTATTATATAAAGTTATACCCTGGGCTGATTCCTAATTAATATTAGCGTTCTAAGTACTGTCGTTTAATTATAATTTATAAAAAACTAAAATACGACTTTCCTCACCTTAGAGTTATGGCGCCACTATATATTTTTTTTATTATATTATTTTTTTTTTTCAATCATTCATTTTCATTTATTTTTATTTTTTTTGTTATTTTGTTAAATGTAAAAACTTGAGTTTTTGTTTTAGATTTTTTTTAAAAATGTGAATGACCGCTATGAAGCGTGCACTTTTGGATTTTCCAAACTTTTTACTATATTTTCTAATATGACAATTATTATGGTAAACATGAATGTTACAATTAAAAATTTAGATTTTACAACAAATCGGATTATCAGATGTATCGGATTTTTTTAAAATGAATCAGCTCACTACCGAATATGTCAAGCTCTGGATAATTGTTTGTTCTAACTGGTTCTTGAATATATGAATTTGAATCTAGAACAGAAATAAACATATATATATAATATGTATACTTTCTATAGTCACTAAGGGAGCGTTCAAGTATTACGTGACGCAATTTTGAAAACCGCCCCCCCATGTAACGCGCCGTCACGTTTTTCTGTGCCCAAAGTATAGTAAAACGTTTCGTGACCGCCTAGTGACTCTTTATACCTAAAAGTTACCATTATGTGGTGTAAAGTACTGGAAAGTCGAAAATAATATTAACAATAATGCGTAATTCAACCCCCGCCCCGCATCGTAACGTTCTACAAAAGGAAATCCCCCCCCCCCCCCAGAAATTCGTTACGTAATACTTGAACGCTCCCTGATGAAAAATCAAAAGTTTTCCACGTCACAACATCTTAGAGGAAATGTTTATGAATGGTTCTCATTTCAGCGTAAATCGGAGCCAGTGATACTGGAGTACTTCGAGCATGGTGATACCAACGCAGCGGCTGAGGACTTTTTGGAGTATGTCACGGCGAAACGGAGCCACTTGGTGAGTGCCATGTTGTAATGTATTCGGTTGAAATGTAAAAAAAGTACTATGTATTGACACGTTTTTTATATACAGTGTAAACTCTATATAACGACACTGAAGTGACTGTGCATTTTAGGGAGAGAAGAAAATTCAGAATTAGAAAAAGAATAAAATATTTCAGACTAGTGTTAGTAATTACATGAAACACAATTATTAGTCTGTTATTTTCGCCTGACTTCTTTGAATTTTTATTCATATGTTATTCATAAATCACGCTCAAGCAATCCCGATTTGTAAACAAAAGAATATTTCCTAGAAAGTTCTGTACGTTTGATGCCGATTGTCGAGTTTATTTCTCGCTAGGACAATAAAGCCACAGAATAACGTACACAGCTCCGCAGTTTAAACTGTTGGCAACTTAAAAAATACTTATAATTTAATTGTCGTTATTGAGAGTGGGTGTAATTCTATGTAGAACTAGCTGACCGGGCAAACGTCGTTTTGCCATATACATATATATCATTTATAATAAAAAAATAGGGGTTGATCGTAGAGGGGTGAAAGTTAGGGGTTTGTATGTATTTTTTAATGCTGTATCAGAAAAAAATATCTAAAAATAATAAAAAAATATTTAGGGGGATGAAAAATAGATGTTGTCCGATTCTCAGACATACACAATTTTTTTAATTTAATTTAATTGTTTAATTCAGAAAACAAGGTTCCATAACAATGTTAGTAAATTACAGCTTAATACCTTAAATCTAAGTGTTAGTATGTTTACATTAATTCCTACCGGAATCATTCCGCATGAAATAGAGAAACAGTGATTCAGGTATGGGCAATCGACTCGGTCCGCGATAATGCGGAGGATACCGTTACCGCTAGCTCTCACCCTGCGCACCAAGGATGCACATCTCTTGCGTATGGTGGCGTAAAAACAATCCACCCGCGCCTCAGCAAACATCCCCGATGCGCTGCAGAATCGAGGCAGCCGCAACAGCACCCTGAACGCATTATTATATTGGATACGGAAAGCGTTGTATGACAATCGAGTATATTTCGACCATAAGGCGCTCGTATAGAATGATGTGCAGAATGCTCTAAACAAGGTTACTTTCACATCAATTGAGCATCGTGCAAACCTGCGGGCGATCATGTTCGCCCTGACACACAACGCTCTCCGTTCCCTATCTATATCAGCATCGTCCCTGAGGTCGGGTGTCAAAATGTGTCCAAGATATTTAAACGTTTTTACAATTTTTAAAGGGACCCCATATAGCGACATGGGGGGTATACTGGACACACCCTTCCAACCGGCCCCAAAGACCATGACTTCACTTTTATTTACATTATATTTCAAACCATGACTAGCCGCATATACCTCACAGAGCTTAAGGAGACGTCTAACCCCACAGACCGACGCACTCAGCAGCACCATATCGTCCGCGTAGCTGATATTGTTAACGCACACACCGTCCACGTGACAGCCGACACGCTCGCTGCTAAGCGTCTCAATCAAAGCGTTTATATATAAATTAAAGAGAGATGGAGAGCTCAGTCCACCTTGTCTTACTCCACACTGCATCGTATAGGGCTTAGACAAGGCACCCATCCATTTAACATTATTGATTTGGTTACCATACCAAAACTTAAATACGTTCAGAAGTTCTTGAGGAACACTTATATCCTCTAGCTTCTTCCAAAGTAGATCGTAGCAAACCGAATCAAATGCCTTGGAAAGATCAAGGAAACAGGCATATACCGCCGTACTCCGACGCAGATAGTATGAAACAATAAGCACACAAAATTTCATGAGAATCATGTCAGGTCAAGCCGTTTCGGAGGAGTATGGCAGCGAAAACTGTGACACGAGAATTTTATATATTAGATGTTATTGTATGGAAGGCAAGCTAAACCAACCAAAGCCGAGTAATTTCTACGCTTTAGGGTATTTGTCGTTATATCGATGGACAACATGGAGTTTATACTATAATTATTAATTAGTGTGAATTCACGTTAGTGTTAAATGCTAAACAGTGGAATTAGCCTCACTCTAGACCAATAAGTTAAACTTGTTTACTGAAAAGGATTTTTACATAAGAAAGTGTCCAATAACACAGTCTCTATTAAGGGAAAGACACTCTGTACTTGTGTGTACACAAGAACAGTCAGTCAGTTATAATTCAAATTCAAAATCATTTATTCAAGTAGGTAACACAGTGAACGCCAAAACAGAAATATACAATAAATGCTTCTAATTTTACATTTACTGCCAGTTCTCAAATCAAAGGCGTAGAACGGACGACAAGTTTTTCAAACACAATGTTTGTAAGGAGGTGCAACCATTACACCGTGTTCCACATGACATCTTGTGTAATTAATAGTTAATAATAATAATAAAATAAATGAAAAACAAAGATTTGTCCTCTATCAGCAAGAGGCGTGGTGAAATAGGAGCACGCACTTACATTATCGTGGGAACAACACGCAAATACAGTCGAAGTAACTAACATCACGGATACACGAATTCAAGTTCATTCAATATTACAAGTGTCATAGTACAGATATATAACGTGAAATCCCTGCGTTATATGAAGGATTACACGTGTTATACGAGGAACTGAAATCGCGTAATATGAAACTGCGTGAGAGTACCGTGTTATAAGGTTTATTGTATTTAAAGCTATGAACAAAATAAAATTTAAATTTGTTTTTTTAAGGTATGCGAAACAATAGTTGAAATCGCGTTGGACCACAAACCGTCGCACTGTGAAATGGCTTCAGTCCTCATATCGGATTTGTATGGGAGAGTTTTCTCGGTTAGAGATATCAGCTATGGTGAGTTTTTTTTTTTTTTTAATTTTTGTAGTCTGCATTCTTGTCTCAAAGCACGAGGTCAAATGTCAAAATCATTTATTCATATAGGTAACACAATGTACACTTACAAACGTCAAAAAAAGAAAATATATATGTAAAAAATGGTTCTAATTTTACATTTACTGCCAGTTCTCCAATCAAGGGCGTATCGGAAGAGAAGAACTGGCAATAAACTCTCCGCCACTTTTTTAAATCGGGATGGATGTTGAGATCCATAATTGTCTTGATTTTGTCTGATTGACCGCGACTTCTACCATTAAAAGTTCAGCTTCTCTTCTATATGACCAAAGTAGCTAAGTTTGTAAATGATAGTTGACAGTTGGTTGGTTGAGAATGGACGTATTTATAAGATACTAGCGGACCCCACCGATGTTGTCCTGCATGATATTTCAAGCGATTAGGATATTAAACAAAGTATGCAAGTACCAACTGCAGCGCCATCTGCCGGGCTGATTCGAATTGAATCTAAACCATCCAGGGCTCCATCCAAACGCATACAAAAAAATTCCATTCAATACGGTCCAGCCGTTTAAGAGTAGTTCAGTGACATACACACGTAGAGTAGAATTTTATCTATACGTAGTCGGTCCCAAAGTTCTGTCATAAATGGAAATAATGATAAAAACAAAAGTACTGATCAGTTTGTAATGAGTGATATATCAATTCCTAGTACATTAATTAAGGAATAAAAAAAGCATAAAAATATTCGAAATAACCTCCCTCATTTTTAATACAGGCACTTAAGCGTCGCGGCCAGTCGTCTATCGCAGCACGCACCATATTCGTGTCGATTTCAGTCACTGGTTTTTTTAAAGATGACTTCAGATTCTCCAAATTTTCATGAGGTTTATCACAGACCTTCCTCTCTAAGCCCTGTCATAAATTCTGGTCCAAAGGATTAAGGTCCGGACTGGAGGAAGGCCAATCCTCATGTCTAATTAAGACGATGTTTTGACGCTCAAACCAGGCTTTAGTGGTCTTGGCTTTGTATGCAGACGCAGAGTCCTGCTGGAACACGAAGTGATGTCCCGCAAATAGGGTGCTGGACATGTCTTTGACAAGGCGATACAAAACCGTCTCTTGGTACACTGTAGCACTGGTTTTGACCCCCTTTTCGAAAAAATTAACCTCAGTTAGCCCGTAATAGGACACTCCCAACCAAACCATTACTGATGATGGATGATGTCCATGTTGCACCCTTGGAACTTTATTTTCAGCTTCTTCAGAACTCCTAGCGTACACTGTATAATTCTGTTTATTGAACTTCTCTTCAATATCGAAAAATTTTTCGTCCGTAAAGAGGATATCACGGTGTCGGTTTTTCGCGTACCGCTTAAACAACACCCGCGATCTCTTAAGCCTTATTGCTTTTAGACGAGCATTAAGTAAGTGCCCACTCTTTTTTGTATGCTCGTAGACCAAGATCTTCATTTAAAACCTTTTTTACTGTTTTCCTACTGACACCCATCTGCAAATCCATCAACTTCTGTTTTCGGACAGGATTTCTTACTATCCGCGCCTTGATAGCTTTGATTACTGCTGGTGTTCTTGCGGAGCGTGGCCAGCCAGTTCTTTTCTTGTCCTCAACACTGGAGACTTCAAGGTACCTATCAATAGTACCGTACACAAACCTAAGCGTTATATTCAAATTTTTGAGCAACTTGAAAATGGTACTCGGCGAGTGTCCACAGCGGTGCAACGCAATAACAACTATTCGGTTTACTTTCAATGTCCACTCCATCGTGAAAAATTACGGAAAGTTATTGTTTTTGTTTTAAAACAATAATCAAACATTCCAAAATAGAATGCAATAATTTTTTTATAAAATCCTGCTCGAAATGTAGAAATAATGTGCTAGTGACAGAACTTTGGGACCAACTACGTATATATGTAAGCTATCCTATCTTTTAAGTTAGATCTGCACACGGTTTGCAAATTTGATTGAAATCGGTTAAGTAGTTTACGAGTCCATAGCGGACAAACGTGACGCGTAATTTATATAAATTACTAGCGGACTCGGCCAAGCTTTGCTGTGGCTAAGGTTTTTGTTATATTACATAGTACCAAACTATTCAAGGGAAACGGTAGGAGAACACCAGTCATGGGGACAACCATGCTTTATTGGTGGTAATGCCATTAAATTGTAGCTTATGTGAAACGTTGGTACTTTCAACACAGCGCCATCTGTTAGAATTGTAACAAATAATGAACAAATATTTGCAATAAAATAATATTGCGGGTATAAATTGAGATGTAAGCTATCCTATCTTTTAAGTTGGATCAAACTACACACGGTGTGCAAATTTGATTGAAATCGTTTCGGTAGTTTAGGAGTCCATAGCGGACAAACAACGTGACACGTAATTTATATATATTAAGATTTACGAGACAATGCTGTACATTTTGCTCATTCAGGCTTTCTTAGTTTTATAATCGTGACGATTTCCTAAATCGTCGTAGTTATGCCCCGAGAGAAATCATATTATTTCACTAAAAATTAATTTCTACACCTTCCTATTTTTATTTCCACATGACGAAAATTCACTTCCGCACTGAGGGACTCCACGCACTACTTTTGAATTTGTACTTGTTAAGGCGCGTTAGGGGAAAATGATGAGAGTATTTTTATATGATACTCCGTCACAAAAAACCGACACCCTGAAGTTAGCATAGTGAACATTTTAAAATAAAAATGTTCATTTATTTAAGTATGTAGAATTTTTGTGACATTTAAATAAACATTATTTTCCTAGATGAGGGAGCGTTCAAGTATTACGTAACGAATTTGGGGGGGAGGGATCCTTTTGTAAAACGTTACGATGCGATTGAATTACGCGTTATTGTAAATATTATTTTCGACTTTCCAGTACTTTACACTACATAATGGTAACTTTTAGGTATAAAGAGTCACTGGGTGGTCACGAAACGTTTTACTATTGGGTACAGAAAAACGTTATGGCGCGTTACATGGGGGGGGGGTGTCAATAATCTCCAAAAGCTGCGTGACGTAATACTTGAACGCTTTCAATATATTAAAATACCTTTTTTTTTACGTTTTTTCTACCAACGTAGAATAAGGCGAAAGATAATTTTTTTAATAAGATTTTTATCTTGTTACGCCAACAAATACTGTGAACTATATTGCTATGGGCGAATTCTCTGATTTGGATTCTATTATTTTCAGCGTTCGAGAGGTTATTGGACAAGTTACCCGATCTCTTACTGGACACGCCGGATGCGACAGTACTCTTGTCTAACTTCATCGCTAGATGTGTCGCTGATGATTGTCTACCGCCGAGATTCGTTCAGACCATGTCCAATGTTGAGTTGAATCCGGCTGCCAGGTAATTTTTTTGAAGTGAAACTTGGCGCATGAGGGTACAATTTTTACGGATGAAACGTCATGAAAATGTGCAGCGTTTTTGTCGAATGGGAGAGAGCGGTTGAGACCGTTTGAGAGAGAGTGAGAAGGGCGAATTACGTTATAGAATTTTATATTTAAAATTAAAATTTCGTAAAGACAATTTATGTATATTTTTAGTATTTTATATTTTATGCAAAATAATTTATTTAAATCTCAATTGACGAATTATAAATTTAAATGCCAGGTGTTTTTATAATCGAAGAAATAATAATTTGTATTAATTTTCGACACTTAATATTTAATGATAATTATATTCATTAAATTCCTGACATATCTTCCTTTTTCCCTTCCTCTAAGTCTCGGAAATCTAAAGTTTTAGATTTGATAAATATGAACAAGACTTAAAAATTAGTTTGCCAAAGAAGTTTCACTTCTGACATGTGTACTTTGTACGCACGCACTTTTTTTTTATATTGTAGAGGGAAAAACGAGCCTACTTGACACGCCCAAAAAGGGCAGTCATCGCAGACCCATTTTAGTGAGTGCGTTCCCGGCCTTTGAGGGAGAAGTATACTCTTGTTATAAATTTGGAGGTTCGCAAAAGAAAGTGTCTGAAGCGGATCGTGGAAGACTTCCAGCCATCAAAGTGGTGCTGACCTTACTATAGGCAGAAATGGATAGCGAAAGTTCAAGGAAAAATAAATATTACTTTTTCTATTATGACCTTGAACTCTGGTAGCGGTCAAAGCGTTTTTTTAAAGTTACGTTCATTTATTCTTCAGCAATGTTACTCTTACTCTGTTCTAAACACTCTTTGCTATTACTGTTGTATGTCATAAAGGTGCGTACAGACTATATAACATAACATGTTATACAACATTGCTATACAACATGTTTCAGATAATGTGGACACTGAGTGTTATAAAACATGTTATTGATATGTATGCTAGGACGAACCCAGCATCTACGTTTTTTTGTTTTTCTTTTGTTATTTAAAATAGTTATATAACATTGTTATATTGCATTGTTTTTCTAATGTGTACAGTATTGTTTTATGTTATAATGTTGAATAACAAGGTTACATAATGTGGACGTGTTATAAAACACTAGTTATATAATATGTTACATAGTCTGTACGCACCCTAATACATTTTTGACTACACTCTTATAGTCCAGGATCCATCACCCATTTTTGCACTTGATTACTATCAAGCTAATTTTCCGTGAGTAGCTCGTACAGGAAATTATTGGGCGTCTCATCAAAATAAAGCTACTCACGGAAAATTAGCTTGATAGTAATCAAGTGCAAAAATGGGCGATGGATCCTGGACTATTAAGTTCGAAGAAATCGCTTTAAACGATACAAAAAATTGTGGTATTTTTTTTAATAATATATAAAAAAATTCATTTTAAACTAGGTAATCTAAAATATTAAAAATTCCAGACAAACTATCCAAAGAGCGGAGACTCTACTCTCTATGAAGCATGGACTCGTCCGGCTGGACAACATATGGGGCGTTGGTGGTGGTATTAGGTAAGATTTTATTAAAATATTCGCCTCCAGAGCCACATACCTGCCTGGATAGACCACATATCAACTCCATACAGTGAAAAGACAAATAAATTTATTATATTACTAGCTGCCCCCGCGAACTTCGTTTCTCCTTGGGAGCGTTCAAGTATTACGTAACGAATTTGGGGGGGGGGTCCTTTTGTAAAACGTTACGATGCGGGACGGGGATTGAATTACGCGTTATTGTTAATATTATTTTCGACTTTTTTTTAGGTATAAAGAGTCACTGGATGGTCACGAAACGTTTTACTGTTGCGTACAGAAAAACGTTACGCCGCGTTACATGGGGGGGGGGGGTCAATAATCTCCAAAAATTGTGTGACGTAATACTTGAACGCTCCTTTAATGTGATTTTACCTACCTACCTTTATAGTACATACCAACATGGAACATTTTGCTATGCTACCCCAGAGACTGTTCGGTTTTCTGGAATGAAAACTTTTTAGGATTTTCTGTGGTTTTTCTCTGTACAAACCTCAGAGTTCAAGACATAAGATTTTAATTAACATATAAAAAATAGGGGTTGATCTGTAGATCGCAAAAATTAAGGGTTGTATGTATTTTGTATGCTGTATCATAAAAAAAATAAAATTTATCTTAAAAAATAAAAATTTAGCGGTTTGAAAGATAGATAGTAGCCGAATCTCAGACTTACTGAATATGAATAAAAAAAGTGTGTGTGTGTCAGCTACGACGCACGATTGGAGTTTACTCCTTACGAACGATAAAATGGCGATAATGTTCTGTGGCTGTCGACCATATTTTCATACTAAAGGTGGTAAGAATATATGTTTTTATAATATAAATGTTTGTAGTAGTAATAAAACGTACCTACATCATCTATGCCCAAATAGGATTTTCTTTCTGTGACCAAAGTTACCTTTATAGTAAGAGAAGAATAAGAATGAACAATCGTTTTAGTTTTAATTTCACTGACCATTACTATTGACAAAACTCTATGGCACGCTAGACAATCTACTTTTATTTTTTACACCTGTCAACACTGACAATGTTGTAACGTGGCTGTCAAAACGTGAATTCAAAATAGAAAAGTCGGTGTAATGTATTCCATCTCATTCTTTTACACGTTCAATCCATTTGTCTCTTTCTACATAACGCCTCAACTTTTCGTGTTACACTTGATTTTACTCCTCATAAAATTTCCGTACCGGGCCTTATAACTCAAATCGTTCCTTCAGGAGTAAACTCCAAAAATTTCATAAGAATCGGTCCCAGCCGTTTCGGAGGAGTATTGAACGAACATTGTGACACGAGAATTTTATATATTGGATATTTCGTACTAACTGATGTGAGACTGATCTAAAATTATCGTGATTCATATGCACTTTTTCTTTTTCATGTGTCCCTTTTTAGTTTAGTTTTTTGTTCCTGTTTATTTTTGTCTAAATAACTATATGTACATTGTACATATTATGTATTTTTGCACTTCCTTATCTTATCAATTTTTTTGAAGTTATACTTGGCGCGTTAGGGAAAAATTATGTGAGTAAATTTTTACAATGCTGCGCACACCGTCACAAAAAACCGACACCCTGAAGTTAGCATAGTCAACATTAAAATAAAAAAAGTACATTTCTTTAATTATGTAGATTTTTTTTTGAGATATTTAAATAAACTTTATTTAACTAGATAATGCGTTATAATAAAACATTCAATGTATTAAACCCCTTTTTTCTATTGTTAGTGTCGTTTTTTCTACAAACGTAGAATAAAATTTTTGAAAAGATTTTTTATCTTGTTACGCCAAAGAAGTATAACTTCTAATGCGAGTACATAAGTACACACACTTTTTTTGAAGTTATACTTCTTTAGGCGCGTTATGAAAAATTGATGAGAGTGAAATTTTACGATGCGCGCGCACCGTTACACAAAATTATCAGCATGAAGTTGCCCACGGAACTTCATTCTGTTAATGGACATTGGACATAATTTAAAAACAACATTCGATTAATAATAGAATTTATGTTACACTTAATGTAAGAGAATAATAATAAATATTTATTTATTTAATTTTTCAAATGTAAACTGAACTTTATTGACTATGATGACTCCTTTTCCAGCCTTTGATTATTTAATTGTAATTTATTATTTGCATGCAATCAAAAACTATTTTAATAATGCCAAAGAAGTATAACTTCTTATGCGCGTACATAAGTACACGCACACTTTTTTTATTTTTTCACAGTGGTTGCCTGGAAGAGATCGCTCGAAAGTGATAAAGGCGCCTTTTCATTTGATTATGTCAATTGTATTATGTTTCTACGAAGTGTTAATAAATAAATAATTCCAGGCCAGTGAAATCCCTGATCCGTCAGATCCAACTTCTCCTGAAAGAGTACCTGACGTCATCAGACTTGACTGAAGCCATGCGCTGCGTGAAGGATCTTGAGGTGCCGCATTTCCACCACGAGCTGGTGTATGAGGTGAGGTTTAAGGGTTTTGAAGTGAAACTTCTTTATATAAGGGTAAAATTTTTACGAAACGTCACGAAGATGTGCAGCGTTTTTTTCGAAAGGGAGAGAGCGATTGAGAGATAGTCAGAAAGGGCGAACGTGGCATGAAGCAAATAGCCATGGAGCGAAAGTAGGCAGCAAGCAAGTGAGGAAGATCGAGAGAGAGATTGAGATAGAGCGAACGTCGCATCACGCACAGTGCCATGGAGCGAGAGGTGGGAGAGAGCTATAGTGAGAAAGATTGAGAGAGAGAGTAAGGGATATTGATAAAAAACCTCTCGCTCCATGGGACTGTGCGTGATGTGACCTTCGCTCTATCTCACTCTCTCAATCGGTCTCACTATCTCTCTCCTTTTTCTTCGACAAAAACGCTGCACATCTTCGTGACGCTAATATTTTTATTATGATATTCGCATGCCTATTTTAATACTATCATTTAAAATTCAAATTAACCATTTATTTATTTATAAATATTATTTCCAGACCGTGTTATTAGCAGTCGAAGCGATCAACACAAGTGTTGAAGAACAACTTTGCACGTTCCTGTCCGAACTCCGTCGCAGTGTTATTGTCACGCCCGATCAGATGGACAGGGTGAGAATTCTATCTATATATTATAATCAAGTATTCAATTTAAAAGGCCGGCTACGCACTCGCGAGCCCTCCGAGCAAAGTAGTGCGACCGTATTTTTGAAGTGTTTACAATTTCGTTCCACAAATTTTTCTTCATCTGAGCTTGTCTGTACTCTTTGGATTTGATATTGTACAAAGCGTCGTGATTTTTAACAAAATCAATTAATTGTTCATCATTTTCGCTCGTCCAAGTCATTGTATTAATTAAATATGGGCACCGCTACACGCGAAAAACGTTGAAATGAATAATGTTTATCACCGCCATGACGGCCGTCATGCAAATGACAGCACCGCTATTTGACGTTACGATGACACTCAACGTTCTCTAGAAAACCTACTCTGATGTTATTTATAGACAACATATGGGTGACGTCACCCAACGTTACATTACGGCCGTTAGATAACTGCACCGCTTTTCTAGGAAACCGTAGCTTAACCAAGTATAGTAAAACGTTTCGTGACCACCTAGTGACTCTTTATACCTAAAAGTTACCACTATGTAGTGTAAAGTACTGGAAAGTCGAAAATAATATTAACAATAACGCGTAATTCAATCCCCGCCCTGCATCGTAACGTTTTTCAAGAGGGGATGCTCGATGATCATCGATGTTGCTATACCAAAAATATCGTAACACCAATGCAACTTACGAAACAAATTAAGCCTTTTATGAACGCATCCACAAATTAGTTTTATTAAAATTTTGAACGCATATTCATTCTTTGCGCCCAGGTCGTTCCCTTCGTTCGTTCTTCGTAGTCTCGCTCGCTCTTTCTCTCTCACACTCCCTAACTACTCTTTATCAACAAATGAATATATTAATATATCAAAATTACTTTTCATTAAGTCAGTTGATAAAAAATATCAGAATATGTAATAATTTGTTCTGTTTCTTAATAAATTTCGAACAATTTCACTGTATTTTATTTCTTTGTCAAAAAAAAAAAACAATCAAAAGATTAGAACGGGTAGGTACTTTACACTTTTAAAATTTACTGAGGGTACGCCGGTTTTGCTTCGCGTTATATAGGTTTCTGCTCCAAGATGGCGTTAGTCCGCTAAAAATATATAATCAATATAAAATTGTATTTCAGGGTTTTCTCCGAGTGCTAGAAGATATGTCTGATATAGTATTGGATGTGCCCCTCGCGTACATAATGCTGGATCGCTTCGTTGAACGGTGCCAGCACAAGTTCAGATTGGGCGAGACTGTTCTCAAGCGTATGCCAACTCGGTGAGGAATTTATATTAGACTAGTCGACTACTCGGCCAAGCGTTGCTGTGGCTAAGATTTGTGTTATATTACATAGTAGTAAACTATTCAAGGGAAACGGTAGAAGAACACCAGTCGTGAAACGTTGGTACTTTCAACACAGCGCCATCTGTTAGAATTGTGAGTGTCAAATAATAAACAAATAATTTGCAATAAAATAATATTGCGGGTATAAATTGAGATGTAAGCTATCCTATCTTTAAAGTTGGATCAAACTGCACACGGTGTGCCAATTTGATTGGAGTGGGTTAAGTAGTTTAAGAGTCCATAGCGGACAAACAACGTGACACCTAATTTATATATATTAAGATTAAATGTCAAAATATAATTATTTAGAGCAGTATTGGCCTAGTGGTTTCAAGTGGTTTGATTCCTGGCTTTGCAGCAATAGAAGTAGCGTGAATTCCGTGATCTCTGTCTACCTCTTCGAAAAAGGGACGTGATATCTGTGATCCCTGCCTACCTGTTCTGAAAACAAGGCGTGATATCCGCGATCTCTGTCTACCTCTTCGGAAAAAAGGCGTGATATCCATGATCTCTGTCTACCCCCTTATGAAAAAAGACGTGATATCCGTGATCTCTGTCTACCCCTTCGGGTAGAAGGCGTAAAGATATAAATAATACTGTATTTGTTTGAATGCGATGATGTTACGAACTACTATTTCCAACGATATCTATAGATATATAACATATTAACGGGTCAAACCGCGGGTCTGGGCTAGTTCTATTTATGCTTAAGAGTTTTAACGATGAAGTTGTCAATGTTGTTTTTTTTTCAGAGGTCGCAAACGCTTTGTGTCCGAAGGTGACGGTGGCGCCATCAAGGACCACGCACTGAAACTGCGCGAGTAAACCCGCCGTATACGCATAGTTTGGTGTATAATGTATTTTTTTTTCTTTTTCAATTTTGGAAGATTTTTAATATTTTCAATGTCTCGGGTATTTTTTTACATTCAGTTTGTTTTTTTTTAAATATGTTAAGGCAATTTTTTTATACATTATTCAGGTTACTAATTTTTTTTAAAGTTTATCACTAGTATTTAAAACATACAAAAATGTATCAAAACCTTTTTTGACATGCAAATGTCAAAATGTGACAGATACTGGATTTATTTTTAACAACATTTTTTGTTGCTGGTTTCAATCCGGTATTATCGATTATACATTATACGCCAGCTGTGTATTGAAGTTTTTATTCCTATATTATTAGGAATGCTTTTTTTGTGTCATACGTTTTTAGGGTATGAAAGTTGTAACTACCCGCATTGGAAATAACGGAATCGTACTTAAAATGCCAAAATCTTAGTTACATCTTCAGTTACCAATAATAGATATTTTTATACAATATATCGCGTACACACAAACTACCAAAATTTTAGTTTTTACTTACCGATTTAAATCCGGTGAATTGGTATTTTTTGACGGTTTTAAGTACGAATGCGGCAATTAAATTCTTTTAAAGAATGCTATGTGATGGACTGAGTAACTTTATGGTTAGTGTCTTAGTGTTAGTACAAAGTTTAAATTAATAATTATATGTAAATTTTAATGCTAATTGATGATTGTATAAAGTGGTTAGGCGCAGGTGTCCTTTTTTTCCTAAACTTAAAAAATTCTCCATATTTATCTTTTCACTGGCGCCATCTGTTTGTAAAAACATTAAATTTTGCAAAATGTATCGTGTGAATGAATGACTGGTGAATGACTGGTGGGATTTCTCGTGGTCCTGGCTTTGATTCCAGACTATTCTGATAAAAGCCGTTTTTGAGTCTACATGCTCTAATTTTTGCAAAACCAGACCACTTTATATATCATTGATAAATAAGCTGACTATACACAAGATGTTAGAATTGTGTATGGACAGCCTTTGCTTGCAGTTTATAAGACGTTTTTAAGTGGGACTTGAAGTACTGAAGATCTTTAATGTTTTACCCGATTGAAACGCGAACAATTTCACAAAGTAATCAATTATAGTTTTGGACCGTAAATAACAAATTTTAATTCGGGCGAGAAAAATGTTGGTTTTCATTATATTAAATTCAAAAAAAACGGCACTTAGCCCGAACTAACTTCTATACGTCAAAGTACATTTTTTAACATACTAGAGTCATGCTTAACACTAAGTGTAAGATTAGTTTAGCGCTAAGTCTGTCATCTGACATTGACAGTCTACATTTTGACGTACGGATATCATAGATAGCGCTAAAGCTCCTTTGTGTCACTAAATTCTACTTAAAATACTTGATCTTTTGTATTTCAAGAGTTTTCTGAGGGATTGCATGTATCGAAATCGAAACAATTTGACAAAAAGTGGCAACACTCAAATTTATAGTCTATGACAGAAAATGTTTCGTCAAGCGTAAAAGTAAAATCGTTTGTTTGCTTATGAATGGGTATTTAAGCAATACTAGTTTAGGATATGTTAAATATAATAATTCTACTGGCATGTACACAATCCAATTTTTCCAATAAATGCATTTATGAAGATGTTTTTTATTCCGATATTCCATAGTATGTGGCTCCAGTTCAGTTTGCAAATGGCTGCCTATTCATTTTGCTTATTATTCGATGCTTAAGCCGGTTGCAGACCGAAAACTAAGCTATGCCAAGGCTAAACTAAGCTTTGCCAAGGAAGCTAGGCTAAGCTAAGCTAGAAATAAATAGCGTGCACACCAACAGCTAACCCAAAGCTCAGTCAGTGTTGCATACTATGTGCAAAGGGTGTGCGGGGTAGCGGGAGGGGCTTAGCTTAGCTCGTGTAGCTGCGCATCGGCATACACAACTAACTTAGCTTCGCATATTTTAGTTAGCTCACATAGCTTAGTTCGTATAGTTTGCGGTCTGCACACAAGTATGGAAAACTGCGTCAGCTATGCGAGCTAAGCTAAACTAACTTAGCTTAGCTCTTGGTCTGCAACCCGTATTACAATGTCAAAATAAAACACTACATTGATTCAAGTTTTTATTTATATATATATAGCCCTTATATTTCAAAATTACAATTCATTATACCACTCGATTACATATAAATAGAACATGGAATAAGAACGAATGTTATTAAAAATACTTGAACATACGTGGTATAAATAACCTGAAAAGAAAAAATTATAAATCATCTACTGTTACTACTAATTTCTTATTGTTTAATTGATATTAATGAAGTTATTAGCTGTGCCCGTGTTATTTCGTTAAGAAAACAAATTAATTTGCTATCTCTATGGGAGGGAAAAGTACGATTTAGAAGGCGTATCTAAACACCAATAAATTAATGAGTACCGAGCGTATAATGAGGGGAGGGGTTGTAAATGTTCTGTTAAACTTGATTTTCTTATTGTCGCTGCTGGCTTTGCGAATACCTTGACAATCAGGCGACGCCCTTGTGCGTGTATCGTATCGTTAATACTGAATTTATTAAAGCACAAAATCTTTGATGTAGCTATAGGCCACTGCTCCGGCCCGGCGAAACCGGAATCAGTCATGAGAAAAATTTGCCGGATTGTGCTTCTCCACTTTATCCGACAATAATCGTAATGCAGAATGAAAACTATATTCAAAATACGATAAGTATATTCAGTTAAGATGCGTCTTAAGCCATTGTTCGGATTAAATTATTGTTTTTCGATATTTAAGCTGCAGCCTGCTTGGAGTTTATATTATTTGGTTTAGTTTGTTGATTGCGTTCGAAGCTTAATATAATTTGTATAGAATCAAAATCCCCCTAAATAAATGTAGGGCAGATGGCCCAGTTATGGCAATTTTAAGAACTTTTTCCGTTCGATGCGTTCCCAGCTTATAATATTTACAGTTGCATAATTTATTTTATTAAAATATTATCAAACATAATATTAACTAAGCCTCACAAAAGATATTTTTTTTATAATTTCTGATAGATAATTATTTATAAAAAAAAATGAAATATAATTTGATTTTGTACCGTTTATGGCCACCAAGAATAAAACACAATTAATTTCAAAATGAATCACTTATTATTATCGCAAGGTTCTAGAGATTTTATGTATATACATATATTAGGCAAAAACTTTTCCATTTCAGTGCGTTGCCGGTCTTTTAAGAATTGGTACGCTCTTTTCTTGAAGGACCCTAAGTCGAATTGGTTTAGGAAATACTTCAGTGGGCAGCTGGTTCCACATAGTGGTGGTGCGCGTGCGGTGGTAATAATTTCAACGATATCGTTAAGTCTATACCAGATTCTATCTGGTCTTTCTGGCCATCTGGCATCACTGTCGATCACTTCGGACCGATAAAACACCGCGTTCCGATCTAGCAAATGATCGGATCGTTAAAAACCGGAGTAGTTGAGAAGTACTGATGTGAGTTTCTAAATCGGATCGGTAATTAACGTTTGCCGGACCGGAGCAGTCGAAAAAGGGCCTTAAAGTGCTTAAAGAAATTTCGACGTTTGATACCGCTCAAGACGTGATTGTGACAAGAGGTACGTAGAGTAAGGACTTAGTAAACAAACAAGAAATCTAATTACAGTGTAAACTCTATATAACGGCACTCAAGGGACTGTTTTTTGACGTTACAGAGTGTTGTCGTTAGTTGGAAAGAAGACCTATCTGTATATAGAAAAGTTTATTTCAGATTAGTGTTAGTAATTACATAAAAAACAATTCTTATTAGAACGCTATGCTCACGCTTTTGCTGTACCAGCAAATATCTTGTATTTTTTGCTTATTTTATGATATTGAGGCATCTTTGTGATAAAGTACGTGCAAGCAAACCCAATTTGTAAACAAAAGAACGGATTTCTCGACAAGCGACAATAGAACGTACACAGCTCCGCAATTTTTCGGCAACGTATAACTACTTTTTATTAATTAATTGTCGTTAAATAGAGGGACGTTACATGGAGTTTACACTGTATATAATATTAGATTGATCATTTTCGTAATCCAGTTAGATTACCTTGTAAAGTTCAGCGTCTTGGATTACGTTGTCCATTAGTATGGAATGGCCCCTGTACATTCCTATGCCGAAAATAATCTACGGCTACTGCTACTACAGCCACTAAAGCTGCGATCCCGAAGGTCCATCCTTTAAGATCTGCCATATTGCCTGGAAAAAGTATAATTTAACATGTACTAAGTATTAATACATTTATACGTATATAGCCTTCATCGACAGTTCAACTAATAGAAAGATACCTGAATTTCGAAATCTCTATTAAATTTACGATAATCCCAGCATATAGTGTAGTTTTTTCTTCTACTTTAGTTCATTAGTAATTTCAATAATGGCATCATTATATCAATCTTTACTCGTGTGACGTGTCTGCTTTTGTAGTTCACGTATATGAACAAAATGGCGCTGACGCTAGTACGTAATAATGATCAAACAAAATTCAAAGATGTTGCTAGGATCCCAGGCGGACGGAAAAATAACTAACTTACAATGATTTAAGGCTCATTTAATAATATAAATATAGTATAAACATTTTCAATACATAAAATAATATGAATAAATTAATTAATATACTTTCAAGTCCACTAAAACTGCTTCTGCAAAAAATATATTTCTTCACGACTAGATAATTTATTTTATATAACAACTAACAAGTTTTAACTAACCTTAAGTGGCTAGCGCGCACTGGTGACTTTTGTCACCGTGACTGTTTCGTCACTCACATCAAGTCTATTAGTATATATGGAGGTGCGCGCACGTTACGACGTGACAATTGGGTGACATTTTTGTCCGCCGACCAGCGGACAAGCCCGTGACGAAACTGTCACCACGCCGCTAGGTTTTTATAGCAGCGCGCGCACGGGCTACAAAATTGTCACTCAACACGTAGTTCTTCCGCCATTTGCATTCGGACCGTCGTCTTTAGCGAACGCAAAATGGCGTCAACGTCTACGCAAAACGTGAAAGTGCACGAAGAGGATATCGATAATGATTTACTTATTGAAGAAGTTGAAAAAGAGCATTAATTTACGATAAAAAGCTGAAAGAGTATTCAGATTCTAATTTGAAAATTAAAGCATGGGATGAAATCAGTCGTATAATATTTTCTACAGTTTGGGGTACGTTGTCGTCACAAGAAAAAACTGAAGCTGGTGAGTATCTTTTTATTTTTAGTATTTGTAGCTAAAACAACAGTTGTACAAAAAGGTGAAATTCAGATTTTGTCATACTGCCATGACACAGCCCCTTGTGGTGAAGTAAAGTAATTCGCAAAATAATTACGTATATTTGCTGCTGATATGGTTCTGTCTGATGGATTTGTTGCAATACCTTTTAATGGACAATCGTAAACAGTGTCAGTAAATTGAATGCCATCTTTGCACCGTACAAAATTATGTAAAATACAACATGTTTTTACTATTATATCAGCAAAATCAAGACTGACGTCAATCGGCCTGTGCAAAATTCGCCATTTGTTACAAAGTATACCAAAAGTGCATTCAACCATGCGTCGTGCCCTAGTGTGGCGATAGTTGTAAATTTTTTTACAGTAGACAATGATTTTCTTGAATATGGTCGCAAAATATGCCTCGACAAGCCAAATGCCTCATCAGCGACCAAACAAAATGGCATTTTTTTCCATTTTCATCATATGGCAAATTATCATCTGGTATGCTCAATTGATTTTGCTGCAATCTTTTGCCCATGCCAGAATTCTGAAATACATTGGAGTCGCTTGCTGCTCCATTAGCACCAACATCTATGTATACAAATTTATAATCTGCATCTACCCATGCCATGAGAACAGTAGAAAAGTACTTTTTGTAATTGAAACACTGCGTACCGGTGTTTTCCGGCTGAATTATTCTCACATGTTTGCCATCAATTGCGCCAATTATGTTCGGAAAATTTGTCCGTTGGTAAAACTGATTTGAAATAGTATACCAATCCTCTTCAGACTTTTCAGGCATGTATAGTGTATGTAAATTCCAGATCGTAGAACATGTAGATTTTACAATTTCTCGTGCAGTGGTGGCACCTATCAAATATTTAAATGATATGCTGTAAAAACTGTTGCCGGTTGCAAGATATCTGAAACAAAAGAAAATTAAATACATAATACAAAATTAAAGTTAAAAATACATAAATTAAATAAATGACTGACTGTTTTATACTAGTTAAATATTTATTTTTACGTAAACTTGTACAAAAACGATGGAAGAATTTAAGGGCTTGTTTTTCACGTGAGCTACGTCAGCAAAAATGTACTAAGTCTGGCCAGGCCGCTACAAAAAGAAGAAAGTACAAACATTTTGACCAACTTTTATTTCTTATCCCAAGCATGGATACCCGAGAAACCTCAGGAAATGCTGATTCTGTAGAGGAAATTGCTTGCGAAGAAGATAGTCAAGATGCCAGTGTGGAAGTACTACAGCGAGAAGAATATTCCCGAAAGAAAAATAAGAATAAAATATGTTACGAAGAAAGGCTTCTAGAGATTTTAAACAACAAAAGAGTTGATGATAACAGGTTTATCGAGACTATGAGAAATAACAAAAGTGACTGTAATGACGATGACAAGGAAAAGCATTTTGCGCTGTCTTTGGTGCCGTTGTTAAAAGCAGTCCCGGAGGAGAAAAAACTAGACGTACAGATCAAAATTTTACAAATTTTCCAGGAAGTTCAGAAACAAAACACTCAGCGCAATAATTATCCCCCATCCACAATTTATACAGGTAGTCCTCAAAATTTCCAAATCAAGCCCAAATATTCTGTTTCTATACCATCGCAAAGTCCCCAAGGCCCACTCCACTTAGCAAGAAACACTCCACTGATTTTATCTCCTTCTCCTACATATATTCCATCTTCAAGCCCTCAAAATATGCAAATCAAACCCTAATATTCTGTCTCTCTACCATCGCAAAGTCCCCAAGGCCCACTCTACTTAGCAAGAAACACTCCACTGACTTTATCTCCTTCTCCTACATATATTCCATCTTCAAGCCCTCAAAATATGCAAATCAAACCCAAATATTCTGTCTCTCTACCATCGCAAAGTCCCCAAGGCCCACTCTACTTAGCAAGAAACACTCCACTGACTTTATCTCCTTCTCCTACATATATTCCATCTTCAAGCCCTCAAAATATGCAAATGAAACCCAAATATTCTGTCTCTCTTCCATCGTACATTCCTCAAAATCCGCTCCACTTAGCAAGAAACACTCAACTTGTTTTATCTCCTTCATCCTACCTCCTACTCATACATCTACAAGTTCCCAAAATTTGCTACCCTCTGCACACACTCAACCGAATTCATCTTCACAATCATCGCCTCCTAAGCAAGACCCTAAAAACTCCTCAGCCGCCTCATCGTCATCAATTCAAACCTATATTACAGAGTTTACAGAAGATTCCGAATTGTATGACATCTGCCAGGAGTACAATATCAAGTATCAACCAACATGAAGAATAATTAAAGAATATTACATTTCAATTACTTTTTTGATTTTTGATTATAGTTAAAAACTACTTACTTTAATTTGTATAACATTTTTGTATTTTCATTAAAATAAACAATTTAAAATTACATAATATTCTAATTACTTATATTTACCTCAAAGTAACAGCGAGTCTTTCTTCAGCCGGAACAGACAATCTCATGTTTGTATTTTCGTATGTCAACGCAGGTCCTAAATTGCGAAGTAATTCATCAAAACTTCTAACACTCATTCGAAAATACCCAAAAAATTTCTTTGGATGTTCCCGAAGTTTATGAAACATGTTGTAGAACTTTCCATTTATTAACCTGTCACTCCAAAGGGGTGTACCCAGGATTCTTTTCGCTTTTTTTCTCTTTTGAGTTTCCTTATAAGCTCACAGATGACGACCGTCTCTTCGAAATCCATTTCGACAAATGAAGGTTTTAAAAAAAAACTTGTCACTGTCACCTTTCGTGAGCGCACCTCGCTTTGGAGGCGTGACGTGACAGCGACAAAAACTTTTTTGTCATGCTGACAAAAGTCACCGGTGCGCGCTAACCTTAAGTGGCGATTTCAGTAAAATCACCTAGCTTGAGTAATTCCCCTGATATAGGCTTACAAAAAGAGAGAGTAGACCGTATGTTCTACCAAAGACAATGAACAAATGTTACCAAACACAAAAACATTACGGATGTTATAATTTATTTATTTCCCGAATTAAAGCTACCTTGATAACATAAACTTAAGTTGCTTAATTTCATAGAAGAGATTGAATTTGACATGTATTGGTTGAAATAGGCAAATTTACTAAGTATATAACAATAGTACCTACAGAAACGAGTGTTTAATCTTTATTACAAACACCCAAACTAGAAGAATGTAATAAATATATGATCAAAATATAGTAACTTTAAAACATTCAGCGATAAAGTTTGTTTAGCAAGGCCATTCGAGTACAGAATAAGCAAATTTCGTAACAAAAAAAAATTCATGTCACTCAAAATGTTGTTAATAATTTTGAGAAACAAATAAATTTTATGAATACTTTATCAAGAAACTGAGTAAATCATAATAAAGTTCTTGCAGCACCTATATCTGTGTTACTCTGTTAGTCTGTTATCTATAAGTGGTACTATTTTATAAACTTTTGACTTAAGTTCAAACTTCAATGACGTAAAGTCATAAGTCACGACACACAACTGAAATTGGAAAACATCTTTTAAAAATCCTCCTTGGATTAGTATTTGTACTCTGTGAAAATTTTGAACAATAGAAAATTATGAGTGTTCGCGAGGAAGATTCTCCAAAAACAAGCAGTTCTGGTCGTGGGTTAGGTTTTGCGGCTGCAGCTATCGGAGTTGGCGTTGGCGTTGGGGCTGCCTTGTACTACTTCTTTGGCCAAAAGGAACCTGAGGCTGGTTCTTCGGCGCAGTGGGAAGGTCAGCAATTGTAAGTTAATACTATAAATTCAATATTCTAAATATATTCAAGGCCTATTTGTCGATATGAAAAACAATAATGCTCGGAAAGACGTAATTCAATGAAGTTTGCTAAAAATAAATTCGTAAGTACCTTTCACTTCCTATGTCCTTACTTTTTGTTTATAAAATTAACGAAAAGTCCGTTATCCACGAATAATGTATAATTATATTTTAGTTGCAACTTTCAATTGCACATTTTTCTAGATTGTATTGAGTGTACTTTACTTTAAATTTAAACACGCTAAGTATTTACATTAAACAACAGTAATTTTTAGTTTTAAAAATCAAAAACAAATTAACTTATTGTGTATGTTTAACACCATATTTATAACCACTTCAAATGTTTCTTAATTTCATTTTGAACATTAGAATTGATCACAATTTTCTTTATTATCTATTCCAAACACATCCTTATAAAAAGAGTTTTACTCAACAATCTGTGAAATGTATGTTATCCATTAAAGATATTATAAATAGAGTAATGACACAATACCTTGACTAACTAAAACATTTCTAATACTTTTATACTACCCATTTATGTATTTAGTTATCCTAAAATTATTATTTTCATTAATAATGATTTTCTTCTTTATTGCTTTAAAGTATATTTTTTTATAAAACTCGCTCTTCAGTTAAACATTCATTCTGCTTTTACTCATACTACACAGTGAATTATCAAAGCTTTTTCATTGCATGCCTTGCTTTAATCATATGCTTGCTTTACACAGCACTATGGAATACACTGATGACTGTAACACCAGCAATGATTATATTACAACAACAGACACTAGTATTTGTGAGACTGACCCCGAGGAATCCCTGATTTTATCTGAAAGCGAGGAGTCTGTTGAATATGAGAACATGGAGTATGATTCTGAAAGTTCTACACATGAATTAGAAACAACTGATGATGAATCGGGATCAAATGAGAATGAATCAATTGATGAGGAATCAGATAATGCTGAAATGAGTGTTCAATCTAGTGATCTAGAGTATGATGACCAGGAGGAAAGGTGGAGTAATCAAAACGCAGATAGTGATACACACAACTCTAGTGATTCAGAATTAGTATATGAAGAATCTGAGAATGATTCCGACTTTGAACATATTCAGCAAGATGACTTTGTTGATGTACCATCTGAAGATTCATTTAGATATTATAGCCCATTTCCTCAAATGTTGGCGATTATGGGTTGGCAATATCCAAGTGTTAATAGCCGCAGTGTAGGTCCCCTGTAAGTTTCATATCTAATAAGAAAATATTAAATAATTTTAATAAAAACAAAAAGGAGCTTTTCATAATATTTACAATGCAGTTATACTGTCAATTTTATCATTGAATTAGTGAAAATATTACATTTTTATTTTTAATTATCACCGCTAATTCATAAATAAAACACAATAGTGCCTTTGGTTGCTATGCCTACACATTTCTTTTTTAAGAGCTATGCATGCAAATTTATGACAACATTCAAAATATTAAGCGCTTTTTAGCAATAATGGTTAGTGAGAAGTTAAATAATTACATCAACTGCATTTTTGTATTAAATTCACTCAAAACATACACTTTATCCGTCTTACTAGTAGTACATATAAATTTTTTAGCTCCAACATATACCTTTTGGTCTGATACATAGAAAGCATAGTACAAATATTTTTTCAGAAACAATTCCAGATCATCTCTCTCATCAGCACAGAAGAGAGAAGCGTTGTAAGAGTCTTTTGTTATTTGTAGTTACTTTACTAATGTGCGATTTTGTGTGAAAAAGGTTGAATTATTAACTATTAACAAATTACATAGATAGCATTTGTCATTTCATAATTGATGTTGTAGGTTTTAATTTTGCATGTTTTTGTTGGTAGGTATATTTTTTTGTGTTGTTATCTAATAAATAACCTATGCCAAGTTCTGTTTACTCTGGTCTACAAAAGAGATGCCATAATATTATGTTCTAACTGACTTAGTGGTAAGTTTGACTTCCGTTCGCAATTTTATTTATATTTTGATATACCACAGTTCGCGCTAATTCTCGTATTTGAATCAGTTTGGGGGGAAAGACGTGGTAGTTCCTGGGGTTTATGTCAAATTTTGTTTGACTAATTAAGACATTTAAGTGACTTAAAGCAACTTCGCATTTTAGAAATACATGTTGGCCATAGGCCAGATGGAAAAAGGATTCTTGCCAAATCTTAATATCAAGATTACGCTGCCCGGTTATTTATTTTTTTATTTATTGTAAAGGCTGAACGAGTCTTCAATAAAATTATGTCGAATCAATAGATAATATATCCTAACAAGGGTGCTTCGAAAAACTATTTAACATGCTTATTACAGTAACATATATATATTTTTTTTTAAAGACAATTTACACCAATTGACCTGGTTCTATGCTAAGCTGGTGAAGCTTGTGTTATGGGTACTAGGCAACGGATATACATACATATTATAGATAGATAGACATATAAATACATATTTAAACACCCAAGACCTAAGCACAACACCAAATGCTCATCACATCTCAGCCGGGGATCGAACCCGGGACCCATGGATTCGCAGTCAGGGGTACTAACCACTAGACCAATGAGTCGTCATTTATTATTATAGGTTGAATAATATAAGTTTCAATCCAATTGCGGTCTTGTGTGCCTGATACTGAAGCATAGAGCACTGCACCTCTTTGAGTTACTTCAGATTAGATTTTTGATTAAATTATTTAAAACAAAAGCGACTTCTAAATCAAAGGAGGTTAATATTCACCGCGTAGTTTTTTTAACTTTTTATTCACACTTTATTGGACATACAATAAAACAGGCTACGGACTGGGTAGTGGCGTAAGGCCCGGCGCCCATTATCGGCATCGGTACGACTGAGGATTTTAGGTGGCCAATAGCAATATACTATAACATAATGGCACAATATACTATAACATAATGGCAATAAAGTAGAAATTTTCGTGATATGTGGTCGTAATAACAAAAATACCGCCTCGGTATGCTTGAGGCTGGTGTATCGGCAGCCTTGAGAATGCTTCAGGATGCTTCGGCATCCTTCGGTACGCCGCCGGCGCCAAGGCAACACTCGGGGGATAGTTTGCCAGACAACTTAGCTTGTAACAACTCTGAGACTGTTATGATGAGAAATACGATATTGAGACGCTTCGGCAAGCTACAGGACGGTGCGGCATCCTTAAGGACGCTTCGTCATCCCTAAGAACGTTGCAGCATGCCAAAGCATAATTGCCGATAGTGTGCGCTTGCATGTAGGATGCCGAAGGATCCTTTTCCTTGCCGATGCCGATAATGGGCGCCGGGCCTAACTATAGCATCTGGGGCCCGTGGCAAATTCTTTTGATGGGGCCCCATTAGAAAAATTGTCAGTACTCAGTTTTAATAAACTTCGAGATTTTCAGCGTACTCAATTACACGTTGTATATGTCCCACTAATGGCCATAGGCGTCCTCACTTAGGCGAAAGGGAATGGTCTGTAGTCCCCACGCTAGCCCAATGCTTATTGGAGACTTCACATTCATCCATTGAACATGCCAGTCCTGCCACCCTATTGTTACGCCACTGGGATTGGGTTATTGCTATTAAGCTATCTCTTCCAGGCAATCCTATAAAAGAAAATATGTAAATGTTTACAACACGTGAGTGCATGAGTGAATGTGTGGGTGCATGAGAGTGAAAGTGAGTCTAATGTGTAACATGTTATGTCTCAGTAGCATCTGAGTTGTGTTCATAAGCCGCTCCTTTATCCATTTTTTTTACATTGTGGACGGTGAGCTGGACTAAACAGCCTATTTAAGTGAAACTTTTATTACATCGTCTCAAACTTTTTCGTCTGTGTGTTGCATGTCGCGTGACGGTCGGCCGCGGAGTAGGGATAAAGTGAAAGGCGCTCGTCATAGCAGCCAATGCCTATAGGGTGGCGTCTATAGTTTTTAATATGTGTATATAATCTAAATAATTGTTAAGTATTATGTATGTCGTACTCTCTAAGACACAGAATTCAATAAAAATATTAGTTGGAGACTTAGTATACTTTTATTATTTCCCATTATCATTCCAATTTTCCAAGTATAAAATTAAGATTGATAAAGCGATTTTTATACCCTTAATGGAATATCATTCCAAAAATTTTTAGTTAAATGTCTATAATGATAAAAAAAGTTTCACTTTTACCGTGGTTTCATAAAACCACACTCAATCCTTTATTTAATTTATTGTACATGTATTCTACTTGCATATTGCGTCTGTATAATAATAGTTTGTATATATGTATGTATAAAATATAATTGGTATGTACTGGCCAGGGAGGTATTGGGAATGTATAACATTACGACATGACATCAATAGTGGAAGGCTGAAAGTACGTTTATAACATTTAAAATGTTTCTTCCAGTCGTGAGAGATCATGGACCCTGGAACAGTGCTCCATATGTTTCGATGTGATCCTCAAGGAGCAAGAGGTGATGGCATTGGCGTGCACGCACAGATTCCATACCAAATGCATCCTGCCTTGGCTTGAGAAGCAGCAGACATGCCCGAACTGTCGCAAAAACATTTAGGTGAGCCTGTTCCTGATACGTGGCATTGTTTTCATGCGCGAGAGTCGTTTTTATTTTAAGTTGTAGGGGGACGTTCAAGTATTACGTAAGCACTTTGGGGGGAGGGGTTGATTTTCTTATTTGGTGCTTATGTCAACAGTAATTATTTCCGTATTACCCACACATTGTCTATGCTTGAAAACTAAATGCATTTTCGAGGATTCTTACAAAAAAATTAATACGTTTATGTACTATGTATAAATTTTTGAGAGCTTTGCTTACTTTTGCTGACAAGAGGAAGGGGGGGAGGGATAAATTGCAGTAAATCTGGTTACGCAATACTTGAACGGTCCCTAAGTATTGATGGAGTTGGCGCAAATTTCATGACCATATTCCAATTTAAAATAGTTCCAAGTTTCATGAAAATTGATTCAGTCATTTTCGAGATATGGTTATATAGTAAATAATTCGTTTAAATCCTTTATTACTTTGATTTTGTTGAATAACGCGAACTTTTCTAACCTTTAATATTTGCAATGTTCCGTTCCGTGTTACGGTAAGTGTTTTAGTTTTGATGACCGGATCGCAGTTGCTCCAGGTATCGCAAATGACAAACAAAATTGTCTTTATTGAGTAAATTATGGTTTATTCAAATGTATTTATCGACCGTTGGCAAATGTCAAAGCTGTTATAACCGACAATTTAAAAAAGTGAAATGATCTGTGGGATAGACTTGTTAGTATATACAGGGTGGCCAAAAAGTCGTGGATCAAACGCAAATAGGGGATAGATGAGGTCATCAGCTGCAAAAAATTATTCTACGGGAGGTCTCTAAGCTCAACCCTTGCAGAGTTGTAATTTATTTTGCGTTTTATAAGAAAATTGACTTTTTCTTACTAATTCTTATAAAAATTCGTAGGTTAATAAACTATCATAAGTCCGAATCGTTGTTGTTTTTTCGTCCTAGAAAGATATTAGAGCGACTCATGGCCATGTGTAATATACCTTTTCGGAATCCCTATTAAATGCGCCAAAATTTGTAATACAGGGTTACTTTTCGGTTGAGCATTTTTTTCACAGTGGGATCCGAAGTAAACAAAAATTTTTGATTTGAAATTTTTTTATATCGTATAACTTAATATTATCTTCAATACACTCAATAAACAACTATAAATAGTATGTCTAACGCAAGAGCTTATCAGTACCGATCTAGTGGATATTATGAAAAAGATACAGGTGTAGATTTTTTCGAATTTTATTAAGAATTAGTAAAAAAAGTCAATTTTCTTATAAAACGCAAAATAAATTATAACTCTGCAGGGGTTGAGCTTAGAGACCTCCCGTAGAACAATTTTTTGCAGCTGATGACCTCATCTATCCCCTATTTGCGTTTGATCCACGACTTTTTGGCCATCCTGTATAGACTAAAGCCGTGATAAATTCAGTATGTATAGGACATAAATGTTTGAATGAGAACCTAACTACTAGTACTAATTTAAGTCAATTTAATGCAGCAGTTATAACACATTTATCACATTTAAAAGTAAATAGCTTTGAATTTAATATCATGAAAACTTTTTATCAACATTGACATCTTGTTATAGACACTAGCGCAAGTAAACTGGTTTCCTCCGATCCATACGTATATTTGCGTGTAATTAATAGATTTTTTAATTTATCGGCAATATACACGTGTTTATATTGATATTAAATAAAATAAAAGTATAAATTTTGTGAATAAACAACGCGTAGAAAATGCCCCTCTGTTGTCTTTGCGCACAAACTATAGATTAAATTTATTTTTCAGAAATGTTTGAGATTTCATAAGTATAAGAAGTCAGCTGGCTCCTGACTTCTGATGTTGGCGGAATTTGAAGATGTCGCTTCGAAAGGCTTTACAATCATTAACAGTTGTCCATAAAATGTATTATTTCTATTCTCTTTATATTTAATAACGGCAACACTGAACTATTTGTCTTTTTTTCCCACTTTAAAAAAAATTCCGTCAATAACTGATGTTGCCGTTACTTTCTGCTTTTGTGTTTAGACCTGGCAACGAATTTAATAATCCGCCTAATTTTACTAGTCTTTAGATATTCGCCAATACTTAATGAAATAATTAGTTTTAGTACTTATTTTTATATTAGTGGATACATTGAATTAAAAAAAAAACATTTTATAAAAAGTAAAATAAAAATATTCTTAAGATTTTCATTCTTTTTTAATTTCTTTTAATATCTCAGTAACTATAATTTTTTCACATGTCAAACTTTTGTCTATGGTTGCTGTGTTAAATATTTGTTATAGAAGGAAAGAACTTCTATTTTGAATAATTTATTTGTTAAAATTGTAACGCAAAATATGTGATAAATATAGGAATTCTAAATTTATTGGCTGTGAGCCGAAATTCTGTCGTTTTACTTTTAATATTAATTAATTGTTACCTTAGCAATAATTTGGGGTTGTAATGTATGAATTGGTAATAAAGTTTTAATAAAAATCCTTTTTTTTTGTTGCAATTCACTTACGAAGACAAAAATCTTATTAACATTTTTTGAAGAGACCGAGTCAACAGATTCATAGCAATAGAGAAGACCCAATTATGTTTGGGAGCGTTCAAGTATTACGTCACGCAATTTTTGGAGATTATTGGGAAACCCCCCCATGTAACGCGCCGTAACGTTTTTCTGTAACCAATACTAAAACGTTTCTTGACCACTCAGTTACTCGTTATACCTAAAAGTGACCATTATGTGGTGTAAAGTACTGGAAAGACAAAAATAATATGAACAATAACGCGTAGTTATCCCGCCTCGCATCGAAACGTCTTACAAAAGGAACCCCCCCTCCCAAAATTCGTTACGTAATGCTTGAACGCTCCCTTACTTGAAACTGGCATAAACTTAAAACTATTGCCATAAAAAAGACCCATCCTAGTAAGGCCGCTCACCCTATCAAAGCATGTAATTAATAAGGTTTCTATTGAGCGCTTAAAAGCGCGTCAACGCTCGTACAAGTTGTTGCACGTGTACCAAAAGACGCGCCTACATGCGCTTCCAAAGACTTATACGCGCGTAAAAACGCTAATCTGAAACCGCCCCCTAGGCCCATTTCCACTATGAACTTAGTGGAAATGTTTATTTTTATTAAAACATCAGCCATGCGATTCTGCTACTCACTTGTCGAACTCACACAGCGGTTTTCACAGCGGCGGTCGCGCTCAAATCAGTCGTAAAGCAGTCATTTTACGATTGTTATACGTGAGTTCGAAAAGTGAGTTACAGAATCGCATGGCAGCTATCTTAGTTGTTCATAATAAAATCTATAAAAAAGGAATGAAAATTTAATAAAACTCCAAAGTAATCATTTTTTATTACAAAAAGAAATAACATAACCGCTTTCGTGCTAAACAATAATATTATAACTAAACATAATTGTGTTCCCGTCTTCTGTGATGGTTCCACGCATCGACATTTTGGAATAACTGCAAAATAAACAATATCAATGACCTTTAAGCCGGTTGCAGACCGAAAACTAAGCTATGCCAAGGCTAAACTAAGCTATGCCAAGCAAGCTAGGCTAAGCTAAGCTAGAAATAAATAGCGTGCACACCAACAGCTAACCCAAAGCTCAGTCAGTGTTGCATACTATGTGCAAAGGGTGTGCGGGGTAGCGGGAGGGGCTTAGCTTAGCTCGTGTAGCTGCGCATCGGCATACACAACTAACTTAGCTTCGCATATTTTAGTTAGCTCACATAGCTTAGTTCGCATAGTTTGCGGTCTGCGCAGACGTATGGAAAATTGGGTCAGCTATGCGAGCTAAGCTAAACTAACGTAGCTTAGCTCTTGGTCTGCAACGCGTATTAGTCGGCGTAAATTACTATCTTTGGCAAATGTCAACTATCTGTGGAGGAAGGATGGTCTATTGTTCTTTCAAAGTAAAGAAAAGATCCCTGAGGGACCTCATAGCCTAGCGGTCTTATTATGTGGCAGCTAGGTGAGGGGTACCGGGTTCGATTCCCGGTTCGAGGGTAAGTTTTAATTTAATTTAAATTTGTTCTCGGCCTTTGGGAGAGTTGTGCGGTATTGGGCGAGTGCCTAAACCGTACATGGAGGACATGGTCGAATTTCTAAGGCAAAAAGCACGAATTATAAAAATAATATATCTACTTGATGCTGGCTAATGCACAAATCGTGCCAGAGCCATAAAAAAAAAAAAGATCCCTGAGCAGTCTAACCACTGAGTGGCCTCAAGACCCCCGCGGCCTTTACAGCTCAGCTGGGGCTGTTTTGGCAAAAGGGGCGTTTTCCCACGACCTCGAAGGGGTAATAAGGGTTAGCGGTGCGTGCGTACAAAGTACACATGACAGAAGTGAAACATCTTTGGCAAACTAATTTTAAGTCTTGTTCATATTTATACAAATCTAATACTTTAGATTTCCGAGACTTAGAGGGAGGGAAAAGGAAGATATGATAGGAATTTAATTGTCATTAAACTATTAAGTGTCAAAAATTAATACAAATTATAAATTTAATTTTTTAAATTTATTTATTCGATAATAAAATCACGTAGAATTATAATTTACAATTCGTCATTTTAGATTTCAAAAATTATTTTGCATTAAATATAAAATACTAATATCTACATATTTAATAAATTCTCTTTACGAAATTTTAATTTTACAAATAGAATTTCTATAAGGTAATTCGCCTTTCTACAAAAACGCTGCACATCTTCGTGACGCTAATATTATTACTATTGCGTTTCATGCGTTAAAATTTTACCCTATGCGCCTAAAGAAGTTTCACTTCTAAAATTTCAATCACCAATATAAATTAAAAGGCCGGCAACGTACTCGCGAGCCCTCTGGCATTGAGAGTGTTTATGAGCGGTGTTACTTAACATCAGGTGAGCCTTCTGCGTGCTTTCCCCCGGCTCAATAAAAAAAATAGCAACTACAGTATTACCTATAGCGGGATTTCCATTATCGTGGATTTGTCAGATCCATATTTCTTTGCGTA